GCTGCCGCACGAGAGAGGAACAGGAAGCAAACCTTTAGCCTCCCCATGAATGCTGCCGCTCTAGAAAGGAATAGAAAGCTGACCTCTAAACAACACAGATGCAACTGAAACCCCCGCGCCTTAAGGTAAAAGTCATTCTTCAATAAACATGTGTTCTTCCTTGTTTTAGGGAATGAGGCCCAGAGTTGTAGGCTTGAAGCTTCGGAGGGAGGAGGGCTAAGGACCGCAGGAAGACTTCTCGTTTTGGGCAAGGCTGTAGCTTCCAGCTATTGAATTGCATGTAATATGGTTAAACTTTGCTGCCCGCCAATGTCCATACATCCCCCCCAATGTTCTAACTCTCAATGCCGCAACTGGCCAGGGATGCAAACATGGGGCTCGCGCGATGTTCTAAGTCGAAATACGGCGAGACTTTTGCATTTTTTGACCTGGATGTTTTTAATCGTACTCGAATTTTTGGTTTAACTACCCACAGGTGTGACGTTCTAAGGCACGTTTGGTGAATTGTCGATGTTCTAACTTGAAGTCCGTCACTATACTGGCCTTTCCAAGTCGAGCCAGCAACGCCTTACGTGGCTAGCTTCGTGCTTCCAGCACTCGCCGGCTCAGCCCTTGGCACGGCCGCACCAGCTGCAGGCACTGGCAGCCGCAGATGCCTGTGCCGAAGACGACTTGGTAGGTATAGGGGGCTGGGCAATCACTTCATCACAAGTGGTTTGGTTTGCCGAAACCTGGAACATGCAGGACACACGGGCAGTATGGCCTTGCCTTGTCAAGCCTGGACAGCGATACATCGCATGTTTCGAAACGCTGGCGCAGTTGGCACTGCTGCAGGCCACCCATAGCCATATTGGTGGTGGGCGCTACTCGTTCAGCATGCCTTCAGGCACTGATAATTCGGCAACGGAAGCAAGCCTTAACAAGTTGTTCACGACTTCCTGGCTGCAGCTCTTCGTGCAGCTCACAGCCTTCTGGGCGCACGCACACAACGTGTTGCTGCAACCCACACATGTTCCAGGCAGGAACAATGATTGGGCAGACGACCTAAGCAGAGGTCGGCTAGTACGCTTCAGCCCCGCAGGCCTTGCGCTGTCAGGCAGAGGCATCCAGCTGTGTCCGATTGATGCGCCCTGGCGCCCGGAACACCTGGCAGCTGCTGCCAGCAGCGTGTAGATAAGCCTTGCAGCCTCCCAACAGGCATTGCGACCCGACATCGCCCTGGCAACCAGAATATCTGGCTGCATCTGTCAGCAGCTTCACAGCAAGCCGCTTTGACGAAAATGAGCAGTTTCTGAGCAGCAAATGCTCATGAGCATGAGAGTGCAATGTCGTGCGACGACCCCGCTCTGAAGGGGGGGTGATGAGGCCGGCGGCCCAGCTGGCTCGCTTATACCGGGGTTGCCTGAAACACTGAAGGGGGGGTCAACGCACCTCCTGCTCCAGGCGCATCCGTGCCCTGGAAGCAGTGCTACTTTCAGCAATCCCGGTTAAAAGAACTGCGGCCGCTTCGGACTTGCTTTGTTCTTTTGGGTGGTCTGGCTTGGGTTCAAGATAGGAGCAGTGCAACGTGCCTTAACGCTTAGGGTTTTCTTTTCCCTTGTGTTTAGGGCGTGTTGTGAATCTACTTCCGCGGTGGCCGTTTTGCTCCTAGCCTTGACCCAAACTTGATCTGTTTCATTTGAAACCCACCCTCCCACCCTGCATTGCCTTTTTTACAAGGCTCTGCAAAGGAAGTTGCAGATGCTCTGCACTTCCATTCATGGTCTCCGGACCTCTAGGTCTCCGGACCGCCTACGGTCTCAGGACCACCAGGTCTCCGGACCGGCGTGGGCACACCTGCCACGCCTTGCGCGCACTGCACGCACCTGCAAGGACACGCATTGTTTTGCCTTTAAGTTTCACGGGGGGTCAACGCACCTCCTGCTCCAGGCGCATCCGTGCCCTGGAAGCAGTGCTACTTTCAGCAATCCCGGTTAAAAGAACTGCGGCCGCTTCGGACTTGCTTTGTTCTTTTGGGTGGTCCGGTTTGGGTTCAAGATAGGAGCAGTGCAACGTGCCTTAACGTGCCACCTTCCCAAGCAACCCGGTAAAAAGGTGTGCGCCTTGCTGTCGGCTTTTGGGTTCAGGGTTCTTTGTGGTTTGAGGCTAGGAGCAGTGCGCGGGACCTTTAACGCCGCAAATCCAGCACCAAAAGCGGACAAAAAACAACTGTCACTGCTGATTGCCTTGCGCCGCAGAGAACTCAAGCCGATTCCTCTTCATCAACACCCCTGCAAAGACTGGAGCTGAACTTGTTTCATCAGATTGGTCCAGCTCGCAAGAAGTTGTTTGGCCGGTCTGGGCCGCGCATTTCGTCTGCGCAGAATGCATTTCGACTGCGCAGGCCAGCTGGGTTTGGTGTTTTTCGAGGGTGTGTTCTCGCTGTGGTGCTGTGCAAATTCCGAAGACATCCACTTTGTGACCCTTCAGATCGCTCTGTGATCGAAACCAAGCCGGCTGCGGGCGTTGGGTGAGTCGCATTGCTCTGGCTGTGGCTGCGAGTTTTGAGCCTCAGGCTCATCTGGGCGGGTCCGCTCTGCTGTGGTGCGAATTTGGAGCGTTGGAAAGCGGGTTAGGCGCAACGGATTTGGAATATCGAGCGTGAGCCGTTTTGCGGACCTCGGGCAGTTAGGATAAGCATCGAAGCACAGGAACTGCAAAGATACTCTTGCAAGAGATCTTATCAGTTCTGACAGAAATAATCCTCCCAGGGATCGCGTGCGCAAATCTTGCCAAGGGTCCTGTCAAGGGCATCTTGAGTCTTGCTGTAAAGCCAGTCCCAAACAGGTTTTGTGCTGTCCTTGACAGGCATGGGGCCTAGAAAGATTTGCAAATCTTGCCAAGAGGCCCTATCTTGCGCAGAGATCCTACACATATTTGGGCGGTCATTCGTAGAGAAGATCCCCTGAAAGCGGTCTCGCGCAGACCCTCTCAAGAATTCTGTGGAGAAATCTTGCCAAAAGACCCTTAAACAAACACATGTCCAGAGATCGCTTTCGCAGTCCTAGAGACCTTGCACGATTTTGCATGATTTTTTCACCGACCCGCAGGCAGTTACGGACTGCAATAATGGCTTGTTTTGCATGGTTTTGCATGATTTTGCTTGGTTTTGTGCGTGGCATGGTTTTGCATGGATTTTGCTTTGATTTGGAACAACCGGTGTGTGGTTCACCTCCCAAAAAACGCGCTGGTGGAAGCGCCCCCCCCCCCCCCAAGTTTTTTTCCCTGTCAGGCAGCTGAGTGTGTGAGGCCGGAAACTCGACCAGATCCTGGCGAAGAAGCACGGCTCCGGGGGTCTTGTGCTGGGGGTGGTTTTTTTTGGGCAGTGCCGAGCTGGCACTTTGGAGTGCCGAGCAGGCACTTTAGGAGTGCCGAGCAGGCACTTAGGACGTGCCGAGCAGGCAAAATTTTAAGAAGATACAAAAATAAATATTTCAATTATTTGAATTATGCATTTTTTTTTTAAAAGTATCCAGGAACTGGCGCAGGGAGAGCCCCGGAAACCATTGTTTTTTTTTGAAATTTGAAAGGCCTCCAGAAACTCAAAAAAATGTAAAATATAAATATTTACATCATTTGAATTGTTCATTTTTTTTTTAAAACATATCCTGGAACTTTCCCAGGGAGAACCCCGGAAACTATTCATTTTTTCAAATTTGTTTCAATTTTGGAAGGCCTCCATAAATTTGAAAATATAAAACATACGTATTGTTTGAATTACTTAGTTTATCTATATTTTTTTGTTTTTGAAATATCCTGGAACTGGCCCGGGGAGGTCCCCGGAAACTATTTTTTTAAATTGGAGGCCTCCAGAAACTAAAATATTTATGAAAAAATCAAATTAGGTTTTATTTTTTAGATATCCTGGAACTGGCCCAGGGAGAGCCCGGGAAACCATTCATTTGTTTGTTTGTAAAAAATGTTTTTAACAGCCTCCAAAAATTTTTGAATTTGGAACATACAAATATTTAACGTTTTTGATTTACTTTTTTTTTTCTCCTGGAACTGGCCAAGGGAAAACCCCGGAAACTGTGCTTTTTCCTTTGCATTTCAATTTTGGGAGGCCTCCAGCAATTGAACAAATATATATATATATATATTTAAATTAGTTGCTTTATTTTTATTGTTTTAAATATCCGGGAACTGGCCCAGGGAGAACCCCGGAAGTGTTTTTTTTGGGAGGCCTCCAGAATCTTTCTCAAAATATTTATATATACATATTTAAATTGTTTGAATCATCTAAATTAGTTTTTTCATTTTTTTTTTTAAATATACTGGAACTGACCCAGGGAGAATCCTGGAAATTATTCAACTTTTATGCATTATTTGCATATCCTGTTTTTTTTTTTTTTAATGAATCTATGAATTAATGTAGCGATTGCATTTCAGGGCCTTGGGCGACACATAGGCCCAATTCTTCCCTGGGGGGGGGGTGGTCGGGCGAGCAGAGGGCAAATAATGGCAACGCAAATCACTTGGGGGATTGTGCTACAAATAGTGGTGTCCCCGCCCGCCCCCTCCTCCATTTGAAAAGGCTTCGCGTGCGGCCTCGGTTAAATGGTTGGATGGGTAGCCGGGAAGCGGGGGTAATTGGCAGGGGGTGGCTGTTTTTGGCCACTTGGTGAGCTCTCTTCTTCACAGCTGTTCCTGGCTAATCACCTCAAGGAGTAGGTGAAGATCCAGATAAATCTCGTTTGGCTGACGTTTTGCCTCTGAATATACAAAATTTGGTCCTCTCCTTGCACCGCTTTTGCTTGTTTTTGCCAGTGTTAAAGTAGCCAAAGGGACACCTTGTTCATCCGCAGCATTTCCACTCACGTCAGCTCGTCCAAGATGAAACCCATTCGAACTAACCCACTCGAAATTTTCTAGTCAAATTGGATCAATCCAGCCCTTTGGGGATTTAAGTGTGTTTGTGTTTGTCAACAAATTCCGCCTTGAGATTGCAGTGGGTTGCCAGTGGAATCGCAGGTAACGTCACATAAGATTGTTTGCTTTGGGCGTTGAAAACGATGAGTGCTTGACCTGCGGTGGCCGGCTATTGCGCATGTGGTGTGCATTCTGACGTCATTGTGCAAGGTGCAGCCGCGTATCTTGGAGGATTAGGTTTTGGAGTTGAGCTGGTCACTCTACTGCCCAGATGAACACATGTGTTTCAATTGCCTGAAAACAATTTCCAGGGTCACTCAGTGTTGAGTTGACCAACGTTTCTGTGGCAATTGGAGCGGAGAACAGTGTGCTGGAAACACTGTCCTGATATCAGCATGTAGGCTGAAGTTAAAGAAATGACGAGTGCAGCACGATCTACAGTGTTCTTGGAGAACGGTTTGCTTTTTCGATCGGCGATACAAACTTTGGTTTGCACCTGATCCCCGGTTCGTTGTTTGGAAGAGATAGCACAGCTGAATGCAGCACTGTAACAGCGGTGAAAATCACTAGGCAGGGGGCATCAAAGGCCAGTAGCCGACTGGTTGCTTGTCATCGTCATGCCGGAGCTTGCTTTGGCACAGCCCGCGATTCCAGAGGACGGAGCAAGCCGGCCGTGAAGTGATGCTGGACGTTTCGGGGGCCTGACTGTGCAACTCATTGACAGGAACCGCAGCAGACGTCCAGCGCTTGGCATCGCTGTCCGGTGCATGTCTTGTTCGGTATGAGGTATGAGTGAAGTAGACATTCCACTCGTATTGCGGCAGCCGTTGGAGTAGAAACTAGGGCTGGCAGCTGTTTCCCAGCAAGGATTTGAGGGAAACATATCTCACGAAGACAACGTGCTTGCTGCGCAAGAGGCCTCGTCGAGCTGACATATGGAAGCGCAACGAGAAGCTGGTGTACCTCACTAATTTTCTCCACATGACACTGTGCCCAGGCTTGCACATTTGTCCGAGGCTTGCCGCTGTTTCTCAGCACCGTGCCAGAATTGAATGACACTAGGTCCTGGTGCACAGAGGTACACTATGTGCTTCGGTGGGATCTTTGATATTTTTCTCTACCATCTTTCCCAAGAGCAACAGGTCTGGGGCCCAGTTCTGTTCATCGAGTTCGCAGTTTCCTAGTAGTTTCAAATTGTTTGTTTTGTCTCAGGACATCTTCGCAGATGCAATTAGCGTTGGCGCTAACGCATCGCCTCCCATCTTTGAAGTGAACACGTGCCGCCCTCGGTGTTACAACTTTGGCCCAGATGCTCGAAACCAAAGCTGGCAGGTACAGCAATTTTGAATTAACCTTCGCCATTCGGCCGCTCCGCGCCCAGTTTTGCAGGCAGCAGAGCTGTTGTTTTTGTTTTGAACTAGTCCTTGGGGTGCTGAGGTCGCGGCAAGCGAGCTACCCTCCAACATCCAATTGCTCCACGGTATACACCTGTGCCGTGCCCAGCTTCTTCTTTTGCCAGATGTTCCATCCACGTCCGACACAATGTTATATTTTGTGGGATCGCAGATCGCGTTTTGTTTATGTACAAAAACATGCTATAATAATTGCATGTTCATTTGCTGAGTATGGACCATCGAAGTCTTTGTCTCGGGTTAGCGGGCAGGACAAAGCACTGGCTGAAAATTCGACGGCCCTGAAATAACAGGGGATAGGCTATTGGCGATTTTGTCTAGGTTCGCAATTTGACAAAATTTACCCCTTCAAAGATGGAATTATCGGCAGGGCTGGGCTTCTTGGCTTTGCGTCGGCTCAGGTGCCACCTCCATTCTGCACGTCACAGATGGCAGCGGGAACGGGGACTGCTGCAAGGCCTGGGCCCAGAAAGCAATCAGCTTGCTGAGTGTCTCAAGAACACTTTAGCGAGTTCACAGTGTCATACAACCAAATCACCATGAAAGATCCTTGCACGGGATACTTCAACTCAGACATGAATCAACACAATTTGTGCAGCAATTGATCGCTCTGACAGCAATTAAGGTTGGAAATCGTGTGCCTGACGAGATTGAGGGTATTGAAATTGTTGAGCTTACCAGTGAGTGTTTGACGAGCTGAGCTCACTCTGGCAGGAATACCATTCGCGTACTTTGCAAACGGAACGTCAGCCGTCATGCTTTACATTACATTGCACATCCCTTTGACTTCACAGACCCCTCCGCATGTCAGCACCTATCTCCGCATTGCCATGGACGCCGTTGGCCAGAACGAGACGCTAGACCGAAGGCGCAAGCGAGTTTTGGACCGCGGCTGCCAAGTTCAGGGGCCAGACCCATCTCAAATGCCGAGTGTTTCACATGCCCAAGCGATATATGAATACATGGTGATGGTTTGATAGGCGGCAAGATTGCTTTGCTGCGGGATGTGTATCAAAAGCGACACACACACACACACACACACACACACACACACACACACACACACACACACACACACACACACACACACACACACACACACACACACACACACACACACACACACACACACACACACACACACACACACACACACACACACACACACACACACACACACACACACACACACACACACACACACACACACACACACACACACACACACACACCACACACACACACACACACACACACACACACACACACACACACACACACACACACACACACACACACACACACACACACACACACACACACACACACACACACACACACACACACACACACACACACACACACACACACACACACACACACACACACACACTCACACACACACACACACACACACACACACACACACACACACACACACACACACACACACACACACACACACACACACACACACACACACACACACACACACACACACACACACACACACACACACACACACACACACACACACACACACACACACACACACACACACACACACACACACACACACACACACACACACACACACACACACACACACACACACACACACACACACACACACACACACACACACACACACACACACACACACACACACACACACACACACACACACACACACACACACACACACACACACACACACACACACACACACACACACACACACACACACACACACACACACACACACACACACACACACACACACACACACACACACACACACACACACACACACACACACACACACACACACACACACACACACACACACACACACACACACACACACACACACACACACACACACACACACACACACACACACACACACACACACACACACACACACACACACACACACACACACACACACACACACACACACACACACACACACACACACACACACACACACACACACACACACACACACACACACACACACACACACACACACACACACACACACACACACACACACACACACACACACACACACACACACACACACACATGTTTTTCGAACTGAGCGGGGAAGGGGGCATACACAGCAGCGTCCACCAGAGAGTCAAGACTCCCCCAATCAAAACAAAAATAAATCAACATAGTTGAGCCCACAACAAGCAACACGCTTGAGCCGCATTGCTCAGTGACCTTGTCTCATCCGGCTCTCGGAAGGTCCTACGATCAGCTGCAGCATTGCTCCGCGCCGTAGCTCGCCGAATCTCCGGCCTTCGGCCAAAGATCTACGGGGAAAAACATGAAAGGCAGGGCCCTGCTAACAGAAAGATCAGCTATTAATACGGTTCCGCGGTTCTGCTTTGTATGATTCGACGACAAGAGGAGAGGTTGCCATACTCTACCTCCTCCCCTTCCAACTCCACTTTCCCTCGATTGAACCCTCTTAAGTTGAAAAGGCGGAGCCAAAAAGGTCGCCTACAACTGTAGACTTGCTTCAACTCAGACGTTTCCAACAGCAAGAAGCAATGGTGTCTCTGCCTAGAGGGGCTCCGGAGTGTGCCGCAGCGAAGGTTCCGGAATATTCTGGAGGGTTCCAGCAACCAAAGGAGTTGGTGAAGGATGGGCTGCTGGAGGGTTCCTGTTTGTTGGAGGCTTGTTGAGGTTCCGGAAGGTTCGGTGTTCCGTAAAGCATTTCGCAGGGTTCCGAAGGGTTGCCACCGGCTGAAGGCGTTTTCAAGTTTCCGAAGGTTGCTGCTATACCACCTGGGCGTGTTACTTGTTGCTTTGCATTATTTCTGGCATGGTCCTCCTCCTCCTCCGCCTCCTCCTCCTCCGCCTCCTCCTCCTCCGCCTCCTCCTACCACTACCACCACTACCACCACCACCACCACCACCACCACCAACAACCACCAACCACCAACCACCAACCACCAACCACCAACCACCAACCACCAACCACCAACCACCAACCACCAACCACCAACCACCAACCACCAACCACCAACCACCAACCACCAACCACCAACCACCAACCACCAACCACCAACCACCAACCACCAACCACCAACCACCAACCACCAACCACCAACCACCAACCACCAACCACCAACCACCAACCACCAACCACCAACCACCAACCACCAACCACCAACCACCAACCACCAACCACCAACCACCAACCACCAACCACCAACCACCAACCACCAACCACCAACCACCAACCACCACCACCACCACCACCACCACCACCACCACCACCACCCACCACCCACCACCACCACCACCACCATCCAACCACCACCACCACCACCACCAACCACCACCACCACCACCACCACCACCACCACCAACCACCACCACCACCACCACCAACCACCACCACCACAACCACCACCAACCACCACCACCACCACCACCACCAACCACCACCACCACCACCACCCACCACCAACACCACCACCACCACCAACAACAGGGAGACTCTGAGCATTTCCAATCTTGCCAAGGGCGTGCTTCTTCACTTGCAGTGGGGGAACCTGGCTTGTCATTTTTGGCCGGATCATCCTGTGCGTTCTCTGCCTTCACAGCAAAACGCGGGGATTATTTGTTCCTGTTGCCCGCATATGCCTGAGGGTTGTATGTATGAACAGAGAATCCTGCCGGGTTCTTTCTTTGTCTTCCGCACCAGCACACAAAAACTTGCAAATCAGTTTCAAGCACCGGAAGCTTCATACACTCAGGAAGGAGCTGCCGCTCCACGAGTGGACCAACATCAAGCTGAAGGCGCCGGATCGTTAATGGGGGCGCTCCCCCTTTGCTAACACCGGAACGAGGCCAGCGCTTACGGCAACTCCAAAGGCAAGATCGAGCATTCCGACGGCGCCGGGTAAGCTCAGTTTGGGCAGCTGACTATTTGGATGAAACGATGGGGGAGATGGTTCCGTTTTTGGTTGCAATTATGTGGGCACCCCGGGGCCCCAGAAATACCCAGTGCTTCAGGCTCAACGTGAACAGGCCTCACAAGGGCCAACCAGGCCAAACGAAGCCAAACCCAAACACGCTCAAACAAGGCATTTGGGCACTATTTTTGTGGTGCTTCGTGGCTGGATTTGGGTACCATGGACTCTGTGACAGTTCACAGTTTCGCCAAGGGCATGGTCATGTTCATCAACGATGAGAAGGTGTGTGAGGTTCCTGGCACTGTTTACCACACGCTGCCAAGTCCGATGCTTAGTTCTTGATGCCCCAGAGAGCTTCACATCAGTGCCGTTCAGGTGCGTTTGGGGAAAGGGAGCGAAAGCGAAATAATGCTCTTTTTGCATGGGCCTGGGGACCCGTAGGGCTCATCCAACGTTGCACCCGCAATTCTGCGGCGCGTTGTAGCCGGAGCTTGCTGGAACTCCAGGCCGCCAGAACGCCCGTCTCTTCCTCGGGTCACTGCAGAGCCCACCGATGAGGCCGGTCGCATCCCGATTGTCGATTGCCTTGGCCAAGGGGGAGAGCTTGGTAGCTTTGGACTGGTCTCTTTGTTGTTTTGTGCTTGTTGGTTGAACGGCACAAGGTTCATACTTTGGGTTTCGAGCGCATGTTTCTCGTTGGTACAGGTCTCACGACCTGCATCTTCCGGCAGAGGCGGAAATCAAAGACGCTCGGAGCTCAGGTCGTCGGCCTAGTGCTTAGAGTCCACAGCGAGAGGTGCCTGGTAGTCTCTTCATTTGGGTTTTTCATTTTTTGAGGCCCCATTTGGGAAGACATGGGACAACCAACGCTCCCAGGGCGCTCGAGGCAAACCATCAGTAAATGGATGTCTCTCGAAACCCCAGTTTCGAACGAGGGGAACTCCTTCTCGTGGAGGTGAAAGCAAGTCATTTCGAGACATGCAGAGATGTGTATCCGCGCAGGGGGTAGGCCCGGGTAGGCGCTGTCCGCGGCTGTTGAGCTCAATACGTTTGATATGAGGGAAAGGCCTTGCGTTCCACTGGCAGTCCTGCTGCTCGGCGATCTTCTCGGGCTACCATGCAGCACCGTCCAAGGGTATGTCACAAAATGGGGAATCTGCTTCGATCTCAAGGTGCAGCCGCAGGAAACCCAACATTTTCAAAAATCCCCCAAATTGTTTGGGAAACACCCAGATCGAGAAGGGGTGAGGACAGCAAAAAAAGAAGGTTCCGGGTATGGGATGGCATTGCGAGGACCATCACCTCAAAGAGGCGCATTCCTTTATTCTGCACGAGCATTGAACATTTTTGCTGAGATTGTTCCATCCAAAAAAATCCCCTGCGGAACACCCTCAAACATCGTATGTTGATTTGGGGCCCTGGTTCCTTCGCTGTAAGACATCCTTCCCGCGCGGAAGCCTTGAGGTTTGCCCTGGCCGTGGCGAGTCCTCGATTGCCTGCATTCCTGCCAAGTGGAACGGGGCGGAGTGGAACAGCAAGCTGGTGGCACTGGCCAAGGTCATTCGATTCGATTGTGATCTCGGATTTTCCATCTTGGGTGCTACAAGAACTGTATTCAGCTTGCAGGGAGAAATGGCTGAAATCGGTTTTCCAAGCAATGTTGCTCCATGCGTTTTTGTCTTCTTTTTCCCCAGCAGCTGAAAGCTTTGGGGTCTCAGCCCAGATAGGCTCCGGGGTGGTTCGGGGCGACCCTGAGCTAAGGTTCCACCAGGGTTCCACCAGGGTTCCACCAGGGTTCCACCAGGGTTCCACCAGGGTTCCACCAGGGTTCCACTAGGGTTCCACCATCTGCGAGGTTTCCACCGGTTTGAGGTAAGGTTCCACGAGGGTTCCACCAGGTTTCCACCAGGCACCAGCCCGTCGTGCTCCGGACGAGGGTTCCACCACGGTGCCACCGAGGGCTGCGGGGTGCTGGTTTGAGGAAGGTTCCACAAGGGTTCCACCAGGGTTCCAAGGGCTGCAGGGTGGTCCGGGGTGGTTTGAGGTAAGGTTTCACGAGGGTTCCACCAGGGTTCCACCAGGGTTTAATCAGCGTTTTGGACGAGGGTTTTTAGCAGGGTTCCACCAATTTCTTCGAGGGTTGAAAAGGTTCCACGAGGTTTCCACCAGGGTTCCACCAGGGTTCTACCAGCGGTCCAGGCTGGTTTGAGGTAAGGTTCCATGAGGGTTGCGCCAGAATTCCACCAGGTTTTGCAAGGTAAGGTTCCATGAGTTCCAGCACGGTTCTAGCAGGGTTCCACGATTTTCTGCGAGGGCTGCGGGTGGTCCGGGGTGGTTTGAGGTAAGGTTCCACGAGGGTTTCAGGGTTCCACAAGATTCTGCAAGGGCAGGTTTCACAGGGTTCCACAAAGCTCTGCCACACGGGTTCCACAAGGCTCCACCAAGCGTTCCAGAAATGCTCTGCAAGGTTCCGTGGTTTGCCCTGGAGGGAAGCAAATGTTGGCTTTGTGGCAAATCAGATCACGTCGCTGCGGGACTCACGGTGCAGCAGAGTAAATGCTTGGCATTGCTTTGGGCTCCAAGAAGTCCACGAGGCTGCGAGGGCTATGAGGTCACAAGGTTTCCACCAGGTTCTGCAAAAGCTATGGGGCAGCCCTGAGGAAAGTCACGCTGAGCTCCCCCGAAGTTGCATGAGAACGGTTTGCAAGGTTCACCGGGCCTAGGTCGGGGCCCGATTGCACTGTCGGGGCCCGATTGCGCCGTTTGGGCCCGATCGGTCCCGATTGCGCCATCGCGCCCCGATCGGGGAGTCGGGCCCTGTCAACTGTACCAAGCTGGCATCGCCTAGTTTTGCTATAGATACAGTTGCAATCCGCATGCTAATAATATGGGTGATCGGGCCCCGATTGCACCGTCGGGCCCCGATCGGGCCCCGATTGCGCTGTCGGGCCCCGATCGGGCCCCGTCGGGCCCCGATCATGCAGGGCGAGATTGCGCTGTCACTCGTAGCTTCGCTTTAGAAAGTTACAAGGCGGCATCCTCAGCAACACCGGCGGTAAGGATGGTCCCGGGGCGTTCCGCGAGGATTCTGGGAGGGTGTGGTGCTGTTGGGGATTTCGCCCGAGCTTATTTTTCTTGTGCCCATGCGAAGCCCTGGATGCGCGGAATGCGTGTAAGTGCTTGCCACATCTAAGTGACAGACGCGAGCTCCGAGGCCAGGCGCAGCAGCTCCATGTCGGAAGAGTCTCTGACAAAATTGGCGAGGGAATGACCAACCCCCCAGCATGTTTTGTCGTTATGTCATTGGTCCGGGAATTGCGGAGCTCCAACAGCTTTGGACTTGGTTGCGCACTCCTTGTAGGCCCCTGCGCCGGTGCGCCTCACATACTTCGCGGGCTATGGCCTTGCAGAGCAAGTTCGATGGATGTTGGCAGCGGCAGGCATCAGCTGGCAGCAGGTGGGGGCTCCTTGCGTTTGGGCTTCTAGAGTTTTTTGGGGACTCAGAGGCAAGGGGAGCTAAATTTGCCATCAGAAGCATTTGGGTTGCAAGAAGCCGCATGTTTTTCAGAGCAGGGTTTCAGAATCATTCCGCGGGCACAAGCTACGGAGCAAGCTGACCAAGAATCGCACATTGATTCGGACTTTCTCTGTGTGCAGAGCCCATTTGTGGCCCGAAGGTGGTGCTTGAGAAGCATGAGGACAGGGTTGGGGAGCTGAGAAGGTTGAGCCAAACTCGCGGAAATCCTGCGTTCCGGGTCTCCAACATGGATATTGGTCACAAGCCCAATGCGACACTTGAGCTGTTGACGGATCCGTTTCAAAGCGGTCAGGGGAAATCCTTTTTCGTCCAATCTGGCATCGTGCTCAATGGATCACCCGGTTCCGGGCCCCAAGGACTTGAAGGAAATCGCTTCCCGGCCAGGCCACCTTCGAATTGTTGGTTTAGCGTATGGGTTTGAAGCTCTTGTTGGTGAAGAAATCAAAAGGAAAGACACCCCACGTCCAAACCAAATGTGTGTTTTCCAGAAAACAAGGCATCCTCTGTCGGTCAGTGGGAAAATCCAACAAGGCTTTTTGACGCCCCCGAGTGTTTGAACCCAACAAAAGGTCATCATCCCAACCAGACTACTCTCCTCTTAGCCACAGCCAAATGGGTATGTCTCAAAGGGCTTTCCTCCTCAAGTGGTTAAACTTTTGCGTTACCTTTAAACAACCGCGAAAGGGTCTCGAGCCTCAAGAAGACACCAAGCCAAGTGAGTGTCACCTGGCTGGAAGGAGTTCCTGGAGATGCGGGCGGACGGGAAACTGCTCTTTGGGCAGCTGCCGCTACTGGAGATCGACGGGCTGAAGCTAGTGCAGTCCCAGGTCCGTTTCTGACGAAGATTTACCGGTGGTTGGTGACAGTTGGTGAGAACAAATTTGTCCCTTTGGAATTCCCAGGTCTGGGTTGGTGGGGTTGTCCTCTTTTTCCTGTTTTGGGCTTGCTGTGGAGCCAAGACATGGGGGGCGAGCCGCTCGATTTCAATCAAACAAATCCTGGTTGCGTTCCCATTTGGCGTGCAAGCTCCTACAAGAGAAGCTTATGACAGGTGGTTGGAACAGGCTGCAAGCAATGGATTGCCTAGGACTGCTGTTGATTGGTTGGTGGGAACGTGGCTGGGTTGGGTTGGTTGTTTGTAGTCCAGCTGAAGATAAGTGAACGATTCGAGATTGGATGCATGGACGAGTGGTTCGTTGCCGAATTGGAGGAAGAAAGCGTCCGTTTCTTTTCGGTGGCTTTGAAGCGAAGCCGAAGCGAGGCCGAAAAGACACTCTATGTTGATCAGCCTTGCTATATGATATACACCCTCTGATATGGGCGGAATTCATGACCACAACGAACTGCCGTTATAAATCCTAGCAAAGCCGTGACTTGCCAAAGACGTGCTTGTACTGTATGCCATGTTTCACTTTGATCAAAGTGCCTTCTTCCGCCCTCCAGTCTGTCGGCCCTGGGAGGCAATGATGCGATATGTGGCGCAGAAGGGGGGGCTTTGGGGCAAGACGCCGGCGGATGCGGCGCTCATCGACATGATCGCGGAGGGCATCCGAGATGCCCGGGGCGTGGTGGTGAGCTTTCCCTTTCAAGGCGACCAGGTGCGGAGCCCATGGACCAAATGTCCAAAGTTCTTGGATCAAGAAGCATACTCAACTATAAATGGCCTTGCCGTTCTTGTGCAGGAGAAGGCCATGTTGGTGGCAGATGTGCCTGCGAGGACGGCCTTTGCTTGCTCGAGTTGGGCACGTGCCAAGTGTATAGAGGAACATGCTTTTGGTTGGCATAAGGAGACTACCAGGAAGCCGGGAGCGGACGCATAGTCTTTGTCGCACCTTTCTTGCTGCTCAAGAAAGACAGGCTTTGTTGTTGTCTGCAAGTGAAAGCCTAGAATTCTTGCATTCTGTTACGTGTCCATTCGGTCTCCTTTCCTTTCCTGTCCAATCCTTTCCTTTGCCCCACGAAAAGAGGACCGCAAAGCAGCTGGTCCCGTTGGAGTCCTTGGTCCAGCAGCGTGAGGATGGCAGCTTCGGGTTCCTGGACACCGTGTGCGCGGCGGACATCTTGCCCCTTGCCTGGAATTTTCTCCAAGAAGTTTAGTTCCTCGCCTGGAAATGCTGTTTTTCAGTGAACAGCAGGTGCAACTGGTGTGAACGGCGGTGGGGAACAGATCAGTTGTGGTTTTTCTTTCTGGATGCCGGACAGTCCTTCAGTCCTTTGAGACCTGATATTTCCCGTGTGGGTACCTGAAACCCCCGTGGGTTGCGTGCCGTGCCGTGCTTGCCAATTTGAGCGTTCGGCCCAGGCTCGCGGAGCTGGCGGAGGAGTCCCCTGGCGCTTCAAGGGGCAAACCGGTCGGCCTCGGCCAAGTTTTTGGCGCCAGCAAAAGCCGCAAAGAGGGAAAACGGCCGCGGGTTGACTGAGGTTGCTTGAGGTTTTAGTGGTTGGTCTTTATGTGGAACATGACAGTTCTCGAATTTTGGACTTACCGAAATGCGAGCACGCATCATCATGAAAAACAAGCAAACTGCAGAACCTGTTTGGCGGCTGCTGCGGTGACCGCTATCATTCAAACGGATTCCAGCCATAGCCGAGGCTGACCTGGATGCGCAAAGATGCCATGGGGGACTACCCCAAGCTTGCAGCGCTCCACAAACAGGCAGGTTTCCCCCGAGCTCCCGTTTAAGCAATGTACCATTGGGCATACTCGCAGAAGATATGCTTTTCTCAGTTCGTCCCAGAGTCATGCCCATCCATTCTTGCAGATCAGCTTGAAGCACAAATTACATGTTGCTTCATTTAAGCAACATTATGATGTCCTGCAATAGACTGAGGGGCACTGTTACCTTTCAATCCCAATAGATCGCTTTGAGTTGGTGTCTCTACGTCACAGACCGCTGGATGCATCCAGAAAACCAGGAACACGGGGAAATATTGGGAAGTGCGCCCCTCCCGGCCCCCGAAACAAGGAGATAGGTCAAACAAAAGGCGGCTCACATAAGCCTGTGGCTGAAGAACCCCCTGACTTTGGCTTGACGTGGCAGGTGGTTTCGCTTCCTCCCATTCGGACCTATCTCGAGGGCCCCGGGCGCTTTCCCTTCCCCGCCGGCGATGTGGGTGCCGCACCCAAAGGGAGAGCCAGAGAGGCAGGCTGAAAACCCACAGTTGGCTTCATGGACCAGGAGCCGAGCAAATCTGTGGCCAATCCCCAGGGTCATGTGACCTTCGGACTCTTTCCTTGGCGCTCCAACGGTCAAGCCTCTTTTTGTGGGTCAGGATCATGATGCTCCTTGATAGGAGTTCTGTTGAAGCAATGGTAGCCCGGTGTCGCCATGGAACCAAAGCCAACCTGAAGCCGCAGAACGCCCCGTATCAGGCTTCCTGCCCCCAAACAAGACTGACAATTCGGCTGGACTGCACGTATATTCTTTTTTATGTTGTTTGTGCGTGCGTGTGTAGATTGCAATATATATATATATATAATATATATATATATACTATATATATATATAATATACACATGTTCCGTGCTTGTCTCGACCCATTCTGAGGCAAGAAGTACGTGCAGAATGTTCAGACGGTTCTGGGCCGATAGCTTTCTTCTTTGGGCAATCTGCAGATTGTCACGCTCTCCGTCAAGGAGTGAGTCAGCGAGCTTGAGACGAGCCAAAGACGCTTCGAATTACGACGCCAAATGCGTGCTGCGCCTGTGCATTGTGCGTGGGTCGCATGTTGCAAGCTGACCACACCTTCACTTTTGATGCTGTCCGTCGATCCAGGTGAAGTATGGAAAGCCTGCTTCGAACTTGTTCGTTGGTCTGGCCAATAGTGCCCAAGGCATTTTGTACCTTCTCAGCACTATGCGCGAGCTTGACTCCTGCTTGTTTACCGTGCACAAACTGCCTGAGCCGAGGTCCATTCTGATAATGTGTCCTAGATGCAAAAAGCTCAAACATGCATTGGCTTGGAGTAATTCGAGGTGGTCCTTATATATCTCATGGTTGTTTTGGTTTATAATGGTCCGACGGTGGTAGATGTTCTCGTAAAAGGAACTGTGACTGTGACAAGGACTCACACAGGAGCTTTGACCACGCCACACATGCGGATGACCGCCTGACAGTCGTTGAGTCCCCCAGTCGCCCCAAGAATTGGTCGAAAAGCCTCTCTCTGAGTAGCCGCACTGCAAGCCTTAGGAAGCCAGCTGCCACGCTTGTTGCTTTTTCTCCACATCGCACTGCAGTTCGAGGTATCCGATCGGTTGGATTGGCGACAAGACCAACCGCCTCTTGGAAGCACCGGAACGCATTGACCAGTTGCGCAATTGAGCTTCGACTGGGTTTGAGGTTACCACTTGCTGCGCGGCAACGTGCTGGTCGCAGTCTTGTCAGGTGCGGGTACATGGCATAAAACTTCCCTTTGCAAGCACCCAAGAAGAAGGGAGACGCGGGATTCCCGATGATGTCAAGCTGCACAGCAGATCGGCGCATTTGGGCACTTTGTAATCACTCAAGCACACACTGATCATGCAGGTAAGTCCACGTATTGGCTCCCGTGTTTCGCTGCTTGTCTTTTGCATTCAGGAGCGGCGATGCTCGCTGCCGTGTACAGCTTGAGCTTACCCTTATTATTTACAGGGATCTGCATTTTTACTTGGCACCGTGGCTGCATTTAGAGGGGTCGGGGAGTATGTCATCAAACATGGCGAGGTTGCCTCGACGGTTCAGTGCAGTTGGGGGGGAGCTTTCGCGCAGAGTTTTTCGGCTCCAAGTGTTTCGTTGAGGTATCAGCAGACCATCTCTTCCACCATCTACGCTTGCTTGGCCGACAACGTGATCGGGGAGCGCCGGACGCGAGCTGGAGCCACTCGGCGCTTGAGCCCATCAATTCGTTTGATTTTTTCGGGACCCTCACGTCAAGATACATCACGACGGTATTCAAACCATCTTGCAACACTTGATTTTTCGCAATGTGTCTTGTTGAATAATTTGGGGATGCGTGATTGGTGCTTTTGTCGAGGCCTTAAGATTTCATCTTTCGTCCCAGGTGTCTTTTTTTCGGGACTCCCAAAACGTTGCTTTCCAATTTGGGTTTGCATTTAAAGCCAACCAAAAATCATTTGGAGTGAAACTGAGACACAACCTATCTCCGCGGCTTAGGTGAACTACAAGACCTTCTCTGCCTGAGACCAAGCATTGGCCCATGTCTTTTGGCCCCCGGTGCTCCAGATTGATAAATCGGGGAATCTATTGGGACCAACAAATCACGTGCCACCAGCTTGTCATTTGAGCTGCCACAAATCGTCGAGCTAAAGCACGGACCTTGGGGGACGACACCATGGGGGCCTGATCGGCCCGAAACAGAGCAACGTTGACAGACAACCCCGTAGTTTTGCAGCACGCTTGGCATCTCGAGTGAGTGAGTGGGGCCACTGATGTAGATAGGGCAATGAATCCAAATTGCATGGAGGGAGTGTTATGCAATGGCGGTTCCCCAAACATGCAGAGTTGGAGATGACTCACACTCGGTTTCTCGTAGACATGGGCAGCCCAGTTTTTTGGGGGTCCTTAAGCACACATGCATCAGATGGTGGGCAAATCTATGTTCTTGTTGAAGAGGGGGTTGACCAAAGCAGAAGATGTGCTCCTCCCAGAAGCAAAGATCCACCAAGTGATGCGACCCAATGCGTCAGCAGCTGCTAGTGTTTTCACCGCGTGTTTCCGGTGGCTCAAGGCCTTTAGCCAAAAGTATTTGAATGTTGGTATCCGAATGTTGGCATGTTCAAGCCAACATGTCATATTCAATTTCAAGCTTCTGCATCTCAACATGGTGGACCCCCGTTTTTTGTGGTAACCCAAAAGGAAACCCACCAGTTTTGGGAACCCTTTTTTAAGACACACACACACGCACCAACATCATTCCATAGCCTCCAGGCGCTGGCGATGTCCTTTGGCCCGGCGATCCAACTCGTGGCCGGGTGTGACGTTGGGAGTGGACATGAATCGAGGGGAATCTTCCATGTGCATTTTATTTTGTGGGTACCCTGAGGCGGGTTTGTGGCCACCCAGCCTGTGAAAGAAAGCCCGCCGTCCAAATCATGCCGATGATCACAGCTCTCTTGCCAAGAAGTGGGCTTGGGTATTTGGTTGATGGATATGTGTGTTAGAGAGAGCCGGATCCCTGTTGGGCGCAATGTAACTAACTCAGCAACCACTTTGGGGACCCAGTGGTTGTCGTCACAAATATGAGGAGGTTGTCAATACGAGGAGGCTGTGAATTGAGTCCCGTGAAAAGCTGCCACTTTGTCAACGCAGTGTCAAATCAAAGTGCGTGTCAGTTGCAATTGCGAAGAATTCCTGCCTTCAACGTCAACACCTGGCCATTTTTTAAGCATGGGAGATGGAGTTAGATTGATCAAGGGTGAGGGAGAGACCTTCGTTTTCTGCTGAGTTCAGTTTGAAGGGTCTGCTTTTAGAACAAACACTGTTGCAGCACATGAGAAGGAACGCATGGTGACATGCTAACGCCGCCAGGTGGTGCTTTGGGGTCCGACGGAGGCACAGGGGATGGGGCACCAACCCAAAACCCCAAAAGGGCAATTTTGCTAGGTTCTACTACCTGGTTGCAGGGGGATAGCAATGGCTGATATGCATATATATATATATACACACACCTGTAGAACCAACTCAGAGTCAGTGGGCTTTGGGCGCTTCTTTCATGTTTTTAACTCGCGGATGTGGTGCACACTTCATGAAGCGTGGCTCGAGAGCCAGGACTCCTGGACGATGTCTACCTTCGAGCTCTTGCTTCTCCCAGGCCATCCTTAGCCGCAACTCCAAATGTGAAGCCACGGGTTCAGATTATCCTTCCGCCAACAAATGGAACCAGAGACACAAATTTCCCCGTTTCCCCGCAGAGCACCTTCTGGCAGCTTGTTGTGGATTGTGGGATGCGCTACAATGGATGTATCGCCTTCAGGATGGCTGATCCTTCCGCTCATTGTCTTATCAGTGTCCCTCATGGTGCCCGTTGGAAAGGCGGGGCTCGTGAGTTTGGTTGCGCCTTCTTTAGGCATTTGAGTGTCTCATTCACCGGAGCATGTCAGGTAAGGCCCATACTCCATAGAGTCAGATGCGAGCCGCAAGGAGCTGAGCAGTATCCCCAACACGGAGACCTGTCTGCACCAGCGAGGGGAACCGCGATCGACATAGCCTCCACAGAGGTCCGAAAGAGGGCATTTTTTCTGGCCCTTTTGGTGGCTGCCAAATTTGCTTTTGAGCAGCCTTTCTGTACTCGTAGTGCAGGAGTGCAAAAACAAATCCTTCACAACCGCGCACGTTGCAAGGATGATGCACAGGACTGCCCACACAGTCCAATCAGGAAGAGAATCAGCGAGGCGTGTGTGAGTTTTCGAGTGGCTACGAATTTCAAGAGTTGGAACCAGCAACCAAAACTTTTGGTTGGTGGACACTTTTTCTTATCCCACTTGCCTGATGTTCGCTATTCGCCGCGAGGCATGGCTGGAACAGTGTGTCCTGGGCTCCCTGAAGCGCCGTTTCGCCCGGCTCCCAAAGGAGAAATTCTCTAAGCCGCAATTGGCTTCGCGGTTTCCTTTGGACTACCCTGAGCCATCAAACACAGTTCTCAACCCCCTTTGGACTTAGTGCGACTGGTTGGGACATCCTCCAAAAAGGAAAGAAGGATGTGGAAGGCGAAGGAAACAAAGACTGGGGTGTTATCAAAGGGGGTTGATCACCGGCTGTTTGTTTAAGGGTGAGCAACGCTACCTCTAATTTGTGGTTTGGGTTGGTTGTTTTGGTGGGTTGGAGGTTAGAGGGTTCAAGATACCAAGCCGAGAGAAGTTGATTTACCCTTACAGTAGAAGCTATAGTTCAAGGGCCACACAGCCAGAACGGGCCATGGTGTCTGTACAAGTCACCAATGGATTTAGCAGCTGTGAATGGAATTTGATTGGAAGATTGGAACCTAGGCGAAAGGGGGGTGTTGTAGGCTCTTGATACGTTGGATGCTGGGATCCTTTCTTGTTTTGTGAGATCTATAGGCATGCTTGGGCAAATTTTGATTCTTAAAGGACTGCAACAGTTTCACACACTCCCATTAGGGTGTGTCTCTTTTTGAGGGTATCCTTTCTCTGTGGTTTTACCGGGAAGCTTGAAGAGGGGTCGGCCTCTGAGGTGGTACCCCTCCTCGTCAATGTGTTTTTCATTGCGACCCTTCTGGCCAATGGCATGCCTGGGCCCGAGCTGGAAACTTGACGCATTGAGTTGCTTGGGAAGCCCGGAGGACTGTTTTTTGTTTTGTTTTTGGGGGAACTCATTTCCTTTTTGCGAAATGTCTGTTGTGCGCCTCATGGGTTGCCATTGCCCCCCAAATCTGTCTGTCCCACACGGGGCATTCTTGGCGAACGCGGGATCGAGGACGGTGAGGTACTTCAGCCTGTACTTCACCCAGGTTTTGAGGCTGGGTCCAGGTAAAACCGTCCAGCACTTCCCGTTGCGCTTTGCAGCCTCCTGAAAACAAACAAACAAAATACGAAGCACGCAAGACCAAGAGAAACGAAGCAAGCAACACGGGCAAGACCTTTGGTGGGAAACTTTCCCAGGTCGGATTCAACAAACGGCTGCGCCTTTGAAGCATCCGTCCGGTCGGCTCGCGAGAGAGCCGAATCAGGTTCAGCCCAGCGCAGCGCTTGCCTCGGCCTGTCCTTTGCCCTTGGCTTCCGCGTTGGTTCACGGGGTATCCTAAAAAGCGTCACCAATGAAAGGATCTTTCTGAACCTCCACCCAGCACCAATCCAAGTTGCCAGGGGAAGCCGACCCGAATAAACAGGTGCAACGACTGCTTCCAGCAGGTTTCCCTTTGGACACGTCAGGGAGTCCATGCGGCTGGTTCCCTTCAAATCGCAAGCAAGGAAGCAGAAGACCCTGCAAGCTGTCGTAGTTTTGTGGTTGTGGTGCTTTTGTTTGCTTTCATGTGTTGGGGGGTGTCGAGCTGATGGACCAAGGCTCTGCATCCTGAACGCGGTGTGCAGGCCTTTGGCGGGCTTCGGATTGCGTGAAGTCAAGGGTTCCACTCAGTTTTCCAGGGATTGTTACAGTGAGGCCTTGGCAGACCTTGCAGTGACATCGTGTGCGGGGTATGGTTGTAGAAACCTTGATCAAGCGTCAGGGTCTTTGGATTCCAAAATGAAAGACCTCCGCAAAGGGATTTCGGCGAATATTACCAAATGAGGTGCGTCAAACTTTCTTTGTCCCCTTCTTTGCTTTTGCCCTCAGGGCCCATGGTTTGCAAAGCCTTTATTTGAGATTCATTTTCGGTCGCCACAGCACCGCGCCCCTTCGACCAAGAGACGTCGCGTCCCGACGCCAGGCTCTTTATCGCGGGCTTCGCTCAGCTAGGGAAGCCGTTGTCAGGCCGAGCCGAAGCCGTTTCGTCCCAGAAGACGGCCGAAGCCTTCGGATGTTTGTCTTCAGCCATGAAGCGCTGCCTCCAAGGCGGTGGCGCGCGGGATCCTGCCATTTAAGATACGCGTTTTGAGCTACGATAATTGGTTTGGCTCCAAGCGAGGAAACCCGCAAGTGGGTGTTGTTTGCTTTGGCTTTCCTTGAACACAGCCCCAAAAACCTTTCCCTCAAAGACACCCTGCGTTTATTTCCTTGCTCCTTCGGGCTTTGGGCTTTGGGGGGGGGTGGGCATGATGCTGCTCAGCCCCGCCATCCGCAGTTCTGCTGGGCCGCTGCAACCTGGCTGTGGTGCTGCACATTGGCCTCTTGGACAAGACGAAGCCGCGGGGGGTGGCTCATAACCCTCGCCCCGTGGGTTGTTTCAGAGGGAAGCTTGCCAGAACCGAAGCCTCTTCGGGGGTGCGCCATTTGGCACAAAGATGGTCAAAGAAGTCCTCTTTTGTCCATGGCCTATGGAATTGCATGAAATGTCCTACACAAACCAAGGGGGTTCATGGGCACTTTCCTGAGAACTTACTTGGCCCCCGGAGAGTTGGCGCTTGGACGGGCTATCTCCTCCCCCCAAAAAGGTTGCTTTGCCAAGGGGGTGTCGCATGGGGCACCATCTAAATCGGGCCCAATTTTGGGCAGGCCAAGCCGCTTGGGACGGTTCTGACAGGGAACCAACATTGACATGAAACCGTTCGGGCTTGACATCTGCCCCTCTGTGTCATTCTTCAGAAAGCTGATTCATTGGTAATGGTCAATGTTGACCACAGTGACACCCTAAACGACTGGAACAAAGTGCAACAAGTTGAGATCACGCATGTCTGCCAACTTTTGAACCCCTCCCACGGCCCGGGTTGGGCCGCATTGGCGTGAATAGACCAGTGTTCAGGAACCAAGCAAGCCGAGCCTGACAGTCTGACGGTCGGTGCCAAGGCTCGGCGATCGCCACGCTGGGGATCTACGGGGGCGGCTTCTTCAAGCCCTCTGTGCCCATGGCCAAGAGGGTCAGACAGGAAAAGGTCCTCAGGCTTGTTGCAACAACCTCGCGGCCAAAATCAGGTTTCATCTTGAGGGGATGCCAAACAAAACCCGGGCCAAGTCCATGACTCCCAGGAGAGAAGGTGCCCCTGCAGTCAAAGGGGTCGATTGAAGGGGGTGGTTACGGGGTTTGCTTGGCCTCCGTTTTGTTTGGTTGTTTGGTTGTACTCGAGGCTGGTGGCGTGTGCGTGTTACCTCCTGCGCTTCGCTTGCCGGGAGCCGAGCGAAGGAGCCAGTTTGATGAAAGGCCGACTTAGAGAACTTGTAGGCACCCCATGCACTGCACATGGGTGTGTCTTTTATTAGGGTCTCCCTTTGCAACCACCAACAAGGGGCATCCTCAAAAAATGACACACCCACATGGCAGTGGTGGCAATCCACCCAGGCCTGCATGCTCGCGACCCGGTGCTGTACTCCATCACCATGGACTGCGTGCCACAGAGCCAGCCACGGGCTAAACAGCGCTGACACCCGCACGCAAAACGCTCGGTGTGAGCCCAAACAAGTGGCAGGGACCAGTGCTCAAGCCTTTGTAACCAATTTTGCGCAGTAGAATACTGGCTTCGGGTGCCGAGGCTGCGAGAGCCTCAACTAATCGAATCTGAGGCGAAGTCGGTGGGCAGCCCTCAACTCGTCTTAGCCTCAGCTTGTAAGCTGGTTGCTCTCAACTCGTGCCCTTTCCGACCTTGTGACCTTCTCCTTTTGCCTGAGTCCTCTTCAGCTCCTTGACGCCTCGCTGAGAAAAACCTCCCGGAGGGCTAGAATTGTTAATCTGGAGGGCGGTTGAGCCTCCCGGCTCCCATCTTTGATCACTTGCAGGCTGCGGACCTTGTCCTTCAGCGCCTCTGCGGTGCTGGGTGGCTTTCTGGCCGCCCGGGACTGAGCTCGTCCAAGGCGACACTGTAGGCGAAAGAAGGGCTGCACAGAACTGGGGAAGGACCAGCTCGATCCCCATCGCAGGACAGACACGGCTATGAGCCGGAGCCCCGGCCCGGGGCTTTGGGTCTCGGATGTTTGGAGGCATCAACAAAACCAAACCCTCCACTAGCTTGCCGATCGGGAGTCCAAAAGAAAAATGGTCTTCCAGGACTTTGTAAGGTTGAAAGTTCGTGGAGCACATTGGCAGAAGCTTTGTGCATTTAGACACGTCGAGCAACATGCTGTGAAAGTTGCCTTTCTCCAGGGTTCAGGCACGTCGAGCACAGACACTCCCTTATGGAATTCCAAAGAAGCCTGCGCCAAGAAGGCGTGGCAACCCCAACATCCATTTGGTGTGCAAGCACACCTCCTGTCCACACTGCTGATTTCCTTCTCAGATCCGCATAGTTACATAGGACACATTCTTTGCTGTGTCAAAACCAGCTGGAACCTTCCAATGCCAATTGGTTGATTTCGCCTTTGCTTCAAACAAGGATCTCCATGGGTCATGGCATTTGCGCAGGTACTCTTTCAACGTCACCATCGTTTCATTGCTGGCCTGGGGCCAAGTGCGTGGCTTGTTTTTTTTTGGAGGATACCACTTTTGGAGTGGTTGTGAAGGGATACCAAAAGGAAAGTAGCAGTCTTTTGCCTATGTGAAAGTTGTTTAGATTTCCCACGACATGCCCCGGAGGCCTTGAGCTGCTCGATAAAAGAAGTGTTGCTTCTCGTCTTGGTTTGTGGTTTGATTGCCCTCTCTTTTGTTTGTTGTTGTTTGAACTCTGCCCACAGCGGCAGCGGAGCGGTTTAGACCGGCAGCCATGGATCCCTGGCTCCAGCAGACTCGTGGCAGGACCCGTTGCAGGCATTCCGAAATAACACTGATGCCTCGGCAAGGTCTTCTGCGGGCCAGGGAGCTCTGGCTGGTGGGGGTCAATTTGGGAAGGCCACGGCGCGAACGTGAGCCCAGTATCCAAGCGCCTCTGGCCAACTTCATTCTTCCCGGCCATCGGCCCCTGCTTTGCCAAGGCCACCTCCGGTGGTGGCTTCACCTACATCGGGGGTCCGGGACTTTGTTGATGGCTTCGCCCTCGTCAGGGACTTTGCCAATGGCTCCAACTGCATTCAATATTTTCCCAACGGCGCTAACTTCATTCGGGAGTATGCCACTGCTCAGAGGTGCGTGGGTCCAGCAGGTGTGCCCGGCTTCATCCACCACACCGGCTACGGCGCCGACATCTTCATCGGGCGGCCAAATGGCGCAGGAGTCTGAGGGCGCTACATCTGCCACACAGGCCGGAAACCAAGCTCCGCCAATCCTTTCAAGAGGGACCAACAGCACGGCGGATTGCGAGGTAGTGAAGATGAACGTCCTCCTGAGCGAGGGTGGCTGCGACCCTCCAGAAACACAAGCCTTTCCTGGAGGCAGCAGCCAAGGACTTTCTTGTCGCTGCGCCAATCGACGCATTCTTCTTCGGTTCTGACCATCAGCGAAGCGAGAGGAGCCGCCGCAGCAAGTCGGACGAAGAGGACAACGATAACATGGACTCCGAGGGTCTGGAGAGCGACAGCGCTCGACCCTAACCAGGAGTACAGCGAGGAGGATGCCAGCTTTGGCGGAAATCTCGAGCTTGAGATGTCCCTGGCGTGGCAGGACAAACCGACGAACCGCCGCTTGAAATACCCATCTTCGGATTCCCCTTCGGACTCCCTTCTCCCACACCGAAAAGGCGCACCTTCTGGTTGAGGTGCTGCTTCCAGCTGCCATCAGGCGCTTCCAGCTGCCATCAGGCGCTGCTGACCTTGCTGATGCGGTTGCTTCTTCACAGAACACCGCATCTCCCAAACGCAAAGTGCCGCAACATGGAGGTTTTCGGAGGGTTTGATTTTGACGGGTTGCTGTCGGGCATGGCCAGGACAGGTTGGTCACGGGGTTTCGCAAGGTTCGCCGTCGGCTTGCCGGAGCCGTCTTTTGTCTGCACCGCTACTCCGTGGCGCTTTCTGCGCAGAGCTCCCGACGCCCTGTCCAAGTACCCTGGTGCTCGCGTGACACCAATGCTAGGGCTACTTACGGGGCAATGTTTCAGAATCGAGGAAGAGAACAAAGTTTTGTCTCGAGGCAAGCAAGGCTTGCGTCGCGTGAAACAGTGTGTGGGAACTTTAAGATCCCCCCGGCTGTGAAAGTTGCATAGATTTCCCACGACATGCCCCGGGAGGCCTTGAGCTGCTGAACAAGGAAGTGTAGCTTGTCGTTTTGGTTTGTGGTTGATTGCCCCCTTTTTCCTTGTTGTAGCTTGAACTCGGCCCACACCTTTTTCTGACACCCGCAAGTGACGGTCAGACTCGCCGTGGACATGGAAGCTTAAAGAGAGCTTCTTAGTGCGTCTTTGGAGACGCAGCTGTTGGGTTGTCTGCAAATGCGTTTTCTGTTTGGAGCTTGCGTGGAAGGCTTGCACGGTCATCATGCTGCCGGCTGTGCTGTGGTTCCCGAAGCAGGACTCATGGGACGCAAATGGCAGCACATCGCTTTGGCTATGAAATTGTAAATGATGTCCATCAAAGGTTCCCAATTACGAACATACTGCAGCGCTCTATTCTTTGATCGTGTGCCTGCCCCCCCCCCCCAGGTTGGCTTGAGCAAACAAACATGACTGGTGTCTCGTCGGACCAATTTCGGGGTTTGAGTCTAGCTTGGGGTAATCAAGAAATCGAACCCGATTTTCCGCATGTCGAAACTAGGCCATGGCAAGTAATTCGACATTTTCTTTGGTTTCCCTTGAAAGTATCCACCGAAACAGGTCCCTAGTTCTGAGACTGTTGACCATGTCTCCAGGCGGGGGTGCTGAAGCTGGAGGAAGCATTCATGCATGCAGGTGAAGGATCGCAAGATGTTGACACTTGCTACTCAGACTCTGACCGGCTCCAGGAGGGAACCAACTACGAGGAGAGCGTTGGTCAGGCATTGACTGACAGCGCAGGATTCCTCTCTCCTTGAAAATAGTGAAGCATGGGAAAGTGTGAGAATGGTAAAGCCTGAGCCGTGCGCAGAGCATGAGAGCCTGTACAAACACGGATTAACCACTTAGTATGTTCCAGCTTGGTTCCCAATCATCCCATGCAACCAGATGAAGGAATCCCGCGCTTCATTTTGCACGTTCTATTGTAAACAGTGTCTTTGCGAGGCCATGCAGGAAGATGCATTGATCTCTGAAAGACGAGCCGTTGGTGAAGTGCAAAGTGCCTGGACCTCAGCCCTTGGCAGCTTGAGTTCGTCAAGCAGCTCGGGATACCATCCGTTTTCCCCATAGGCAGGCCATGCTGAAGCTGAAGCCTTGCCGTGTGCCGTGTTATTCCCATCCAATCAAACAGAACGCCGCGAGACCAGGAACGAGCCCCGCCCCGATTCCCCGATCCCCGAGGCGCCGTCCAGGCCACTCTGAGCATAGAATGTCGGGAAACGCATCCCGGCGGTTCCTCGCATTTCGGCGATTCCAAGTTGCCCGGCGGATGCTGTGCCGTGAGGTTGGATGTTTTCTTCTGGTCTGTGGTGAGAGAGACATGCCAGGGGTTGCCGTAGTTTAGTTTGGGTTCATCTCAAATGAGTGGTTTGTTTTGGCTTTTCTTCAAAACAACCCCAAACGTGGTACCCTCAAAAAAGAGAGACCCATTTTTAGATCAGCACGGCATTTGCTGGGCGAGCGGCTTGGGCGCTTGGAAGCCGTTGCGATCCAAAAAGCATAGCGATGGCGCTGGACACTAGGCTTTCGGCAGGACCTGGCTGCGTGAGGTGCCTCGGGGGCACTCTGATGCTCAAAGCGGGCAAGACGGCCTGCCACATCACCTGCACTTGTTGTGGGTTCTTTGAAGAACAAGCAAGAACAAAGACACGTGACCGCATCCCGAACCATATCTACTTGTCTGCTCCGAGTCAACTTGATCTCCAAAGACAAATGTGTATATATACATATATATTGTATATACATATATATATATATATATATATATATATATATATATATATATACATGCAATCATACCAAGCAAATTTGACTCGTCAGTTGGACGAGCAGTCAAGTATATTGTGTTTCTGTTTGGCCAGCTGGCATTAGCAATTGTCCGGACTTGGGGGCTATGCGGGTGAGCGGCCATGCAGACGTTGCCGTGGCAACAGGCGGGCTGACCGCTGACAACAGTTGCGCGGGCAGTTCTTGGGGCGGGAATAAGCTTTGACAGTTGCAACCCGTGACCCTGGTTGCAAAAGAATCGGAACATATCGGAACCCTTCTCGTGGTCGACCATTTCTCGGGGGAACCAACCAAAGAGAAAGGGAGTTGAAGGGCCCACTCAACAACTGGGCTTTCTCCCCCCCCCCCGCCCCGAAAAAAAGAAAGAACAAAGCAAAACAATCAAAACCGAAAACAATCCCCCTCCCGCCGCCAAGCCCAGCATTTCGTTTGGGGCTCACCTTTTTCTGCCATGAGGTCGCAAAGAGTTCCGGTTCTTGGCGAGAAATTGCGTGACCAAGTCTATGCCTGTCCAAACGGTAGATCCCGAAAGCTGCTTTGTCACACCCGGGTAATTGGAGGGTTTCAAGGGACACTCGCCACGAATGGGTGTTTTGGGTAGACCATTGTAGTAGCGGGTGTTGATTGTTATGCATGAGAAAGCGCGCAAGGTTCTGGCCCAAACACAACCTGGTCAAAGCCAGCGCTCGCCAGCTTCGCGAAACTTTGGCAAGGCCCCCTTTAATAGTTTTGTTTTCCTCAAATCAAATCCAACAACGCGCGCCAATGCCAGGCCTTTCGAGCCGAGGAGTTTGCCGTTTCTTTGCCCCAGGCTTGGTCGCTGGATTGGAGACATGGGCGATCGTCTCAAAAGCGAACCCTTGAAATTGGTGGCTTAGTTCTCTGGCCAAAAAACGGTACCCCCCAAACAACACACACACACACAACGCTCACATCAACATGGATCTGAGTTGATCGTTGGGGGCGGCCACAAGCAGCGCAACTACCGTGTGGCTCCTTTTGGGAACTGGTCTGGTCCACACACGGTCCCTCTGGATGTCAATAGAGTCTATGGTGCTTTTCAAAGCGCCTTATTTGTCTCAGTTGCTTCCAAGGTCTTTTGGTTGCAAATAAAGGAGACACATGGATCTGGTCAAAGTAAGTCGTAACATTGTCACATTTGTTTGCTCTTTTCTGTGGCTGCGTGGGTGTTCCAACTCGGGTTCCTTGAAGCCCATGGTGCTGCATGAAGACTTGCTGGGACAAACTGGCCGCTGTCTTGTCTCGCCTTGACCTTACTTGACACATGTGCGTGGGTCCAAAAGGGGATGGTCATCCGCTGTGAAAAGCGATAGCGACTCGTGCAGGCTGACCTGCTGGATTTGGGCGCGTTATGTTGCGCGAGGGGCCTGAGAAGGGATAGTTTTCAACAAGCGATCATCGCTCTGAGGAATGACTGGCATGTTTGGCTTTGTCAGCTACAGCGTCCCATGGCTGGAACTGGCAAATCTGGCATCAGACAGGCAGAGCTTGCAAAATCTACAACCAAAACATCAGATGGCTGCCGGTATGAAGCCCAATTTGCCAATGTCACGTTGGCGCAGCGGCTGGAACGGACTGGATGGTGTGCTGGGTTGCACGACAGGCTCTGGGATTCGTTACGCCACGTCGCTTTGCAGCCACAATTTCATCGTTTCGTTTTGGTTTGAAGGATTGCTACTAGGTCAACCAAGACACAACTCCAAGGAGACAGAACCACATTCAGCACACACACACACAAACGCACAACGGTCAGCATACGTTTTGAAGCGTTGATGTGGCTGGGCTTCGCCGCTCGTCGTTTTTGCTGAAGCAAAGGTTCATGTTGCTCAGGCCAAGAAGTATCGCAAGGCGCCGAACTTTCGGGGGCCGGCAGGGAGAGTGAGAAGGCACTCGCCCTCAGAGGCGGGAAAAGGACTTCTAGGAAAAGGGTGTTTTTGGTTGGCAGCTTCCATGCTAGCTTGTAGGGTACTAGCTTCACTGGAAAGGAAAGCGCAATGTGGCATATTTCCCTAGGCTTGAACCAAATGTGGAGCATGGGAATTTTAGTGCTAAGGCCAGCGCCAGAATGCCTCAAAACAAACTGCACCAAACTCAAAGTGATGAAACTTGATATAATCTCGCATCAAATTGTCCAAGCCGAGCATGGATGACTGCTAGATCTGCCTCCTCCCTCTTTCAATAGGGATTTCCTGTTTCCCTCCGCTCGAAACAGCATTTGTTTTAAGCTGAGGTAGGAGTCTGGTGAAAGCTGCCACCAATGCCCGCCGAATGGATGGATCTAGAAAAGGTGTGCTGCCACCTCCCTACTCCAGAGAAGTCCTGTGTGTTTGTTCAACACCACTTGGCCCCCGTAAGAAGGATCTTGGCAATTCAGGTGGATTCCATGTATCATGTCCCCTTTGACGCTGTCCCCAGTGCTTGCTTTCGCAGCACCCCCGTGTCCCCCCCAGCCAAACTCAGGAAGCGCAGAGGCCATCAGCGAAGGAGATGGCCTGGGAACTCGGAACCTGGGTTTGGGTTTTCGAAGGATCCGAGTGGTCCAAGCGAAGGTTCTGGAAAGCAAAGAGGAACACACTCTTGGGAAGGGTTCTGGTTCTCGGTTCTCTGACTACGAGGCAGATTTCAGCGCAGGGGTTTCCCTTTTCAGGAGATTACCCACCCCTCAGTTGTCAAAAACTGGAACCCTGCTCTTGGGCTTCCCGGGGGGTGATGGGGACAGAGTGATGGGGACAGGGTGATGGGGACAGGGTGATGGGGACAGGGTGTGTTTGTGTGTGTACACATACATACTTTCTTTTCATGTGCGTAAATGTGAATTGGCACACTTACATATATATATATATATATATATATATATTAAGATGCACACTCACACACACACACATTTGTTAAATTGTGTATTCCCCACCAGAATTCCAAGTGCGCGCCATTTTGGGCAAGGAAGACGGGATTGCTGTTTCCGAGGAGATGACATTGGGTAAACTAGGCAAATTTTGGCAAGACAAACGGTGTATATTAGACCTCTATTTCCCAATGCAGCTGGGAACATACAAAATGTTGACTGTGGCTTAAACGTGGCCTTTGGGCGGTGCCTTGCGGGATTTCAGGAGCACTTGAAAGCATAGACCCCGAGAGGTTCAATCATTGACCTGCCAGAGTATGGCCCCCTGTCTTCATGGGGTGGGGTTGGGAGATGACATCATGTGTGTGGTCCCTAAAGGTGCCTCCCCTTTTGAGGTGCGTAAAGGGTAACAAGGAAAGCCGAGCATATATGGGGTCCGAGCTCGGCATGGCGGTGTTTCGAGGCACAGTGAGAGCCCGCTGTGAATGGCTGGGTTTCTTCTGATTACCCCTGCGACGCATTCAAAAGCGGTCAATTTTCAAGCCCTTGACCCGTTTGCATGTTTGCAGGGATCCCTTTTCGATTTTTCAAAGCTGAGGCAACATCACCAATTTTTGGGGGTTCTAGACGCCCAGCCCATATCCATGGCCAAGGTGAATGCTGCTGCCTGCATGGAGAAGGGGCTTTACGAGGAGCCGCGTCGTTTCTCGAGAGCCCAGCCACGCGCCATGGGGAGTGGCAAAAGGGAGTGGCCGACTTTGGGGTTTGAAGGAAACCCTAAAGTGGAGCCAGCCATTCGCCATCTCGTGTTGTTTTGCCTCCACTCTGCTCGCACGCACTCGCCCTGTATCGTCCGCCTGCCCAAAATGTGTACTTTCCAGTATTGCATCCATGACTAGGGAGCACATGCCCTAAGCGAAGACACCTTCTTTTGCTGCCTGGCCGAAGTGATTAGGTTTGCTGAGCCCCACGTGCATCCACAAGCCCTACCTGGTTACCCCCCCCCCCCCTGCCCCCTGTCCAGTGTTGGCTGTACTGACGAGTTTGGAACGCCGGCATGCGTCCACATCCCCCGAAATCATGCAAACCATGTACAATATGTCTTGATTTTCCTGTATCCACGGCTTGGGGAACCCCCCTCATGCCCAACATATGATTATGCCCCTGTTCATTTGTGCCCCTGACGGGAACTCTCGCATACATCCGCATGGCCAACATGTTTGTACTCCCGTCTTTCTGCATCCACAACCTGAGAACCCCTGAACAAGCCCAAAGATAAATGCTTGGCGGAAGATGTCTTGTGACAGTAGGTCACACTTTGTTTGCAGAAGAAACAGGCCAGAGGCGTTTTGCATGGTTGGGGCAATTTGTGGCTTGCTTGCTTTTGTTTATTGCTTTTTCTGTGAATGCAGGCACCCACATCCTGACATTCTCGATGTTGGTAAATCTTGCGGCGATAAAGGCTTAATCACAGCAGGGCTGCTGTGGTCAGCATAATTTTTCTAGAGGTTTCCAGTGACCAGTCCTTCGGGAGGCGTTTAGTCAATTTGTGGGACATTTGTGCGGCTTTCGTAGAGGATGCGGCTGGAGGCCGAGAAGCCTTCGTTCTATGAGCTGTGCCGACAAAGACGCAAATGAGCCTTTTGGGAGCGCTTAACAGCGGCGCAGGAGGGCGGCAAGTGCGCGAGGAGCGCGCTTGCAGGCTTCCAAGGCCTGGGCACGAGCTTCTAAACCGCGCCAGGTGGTGTATCTTTTTGTCTCGCCCGTGCCATGACTCTTGTCGGGTCCCTGAGCAAAACAACTTTAAGAGGGCTGTCCGTGTAATGGTAGCACCCATTTTGGTGGGCATCTTGAGGTCTTAGGCAGAGCGCACAGAGCCGGTTTGCCATGGCGCAGGCGACACACTGGCGATGGTTGATGCGATCCGCCTCATCGTTTACGCACATACAGCGCAGGCAGAGCCTGACTTGAAAGTCTCGCCCAAGTGGGTAGGCGTGGGGGACTCTTGCCGAGGGTGTACAAAGAAAACCAACATGGAGCCAATTATTTGGGTGGGGCTCCCAAGTGGAAATTGTTTGGCACGTCGTCGTGGGGTATCCTGACCTCAGGGCAAGCTGAAAGATGCCCACGTGGCGGTGTGCATCCGAGTGGGGTGGTGAGGGGGTCCGCTGATAGGGTGTGTGCATCTCTCTCTCCCGCTCCCTTTGTCTGTCTGTCTGTCTGTCTGTCTGTCTGTCTGTCTGTCTGTCTGTCTGTCTGTCTGTCTGTCTCTCTGTCTCTCTGTCTCTCTGTCTCTCTGTCTCTCTGTCTCTCTGTCTCTCTGTCTCTCTGTCTCTCTGTCTCTCTGTCTCTCTGTCTCTCTGTCTCTCTGTCTCTCTGTCTCTCTGTCTCTCTGTCTCTCTGTCTCTCTGTCTCTCTGTCTCTCTGTCTCTCTGTCTCTCTGTCTCTCTGTCTCTCTGTCTCTCTGTCTCTCTGTCTCTCTGTCTCTCTGTCTCTCTGTCTCTCTGTCTCTCTGTCTCTCTGTCTCTCTGTCTCTCTGTCTCTCTGTCTCTCTGTCTCTCTGTCTCTCTGTCTCTCTGTCTCTCTGTCTCTCTGTCTCTCTGTCTCTCTGTCTCTCTGTCTCTCTGTCTCTCTGTCTCTCTGTCTCTCTGTCTCTCTGTCTCTCTCTCTGTCTCTCTGTCTCTCTGTCTCTCTGTCTCTCTGTCTCTCTTTCTCTCTTTCTCTCTTTCTCTCTTTTTCTCTTTCTCTCTTTCTCTCTTTCTCTCTTTCTCTCTTTCTCTCTTTCTCTCTTTCTCTCTTTCTCTCTTTCTCTCTTTCTCTCTTTCTCTTTTTCTCTTTCTCTCTCTCCCGCTCTCCCCCTCCCCTCTCTCCCTCTCTTCCTCTCTTCCTCTCTTCCTCTCTCCCTCCCTCCCTCTCTCCCTCTCTCCCTCTCTCCCTCTCTCCCTCTCTCCCTCTCCCTCCCTCCCTCCCTCCCTCCCTTTGCGTGATTTGGGCAGTCCATTGGATAGACTCAAAGGTGACGCAAGGTTGCCATCTGTTTGGATACAAAAGATAAGCCATGGCCAGACTGATTGGGCCACACATTTGACAGGCTCCCTAATTGGCGTCGTTATTTTCATACACACCAAGTATTCTAGCCAATCACACGCAGGGCCATCTTCAAAGACTTGTGGTAGCCAAGGCATACGCGCAGCTGGAAGGCTTTTGTGCCCAGTCTGACAAGGCTGGCGAGGCCGGTGGCAGACGTGTGTTTCTTGGCATTGAGGTGTTTTATTGCAAGGCCCCCCTAGGAGGACTGCAGCAGATTGCAACTGATTGTCTGGAGTGGCCTGTGCGCGAGCCATGTATGTGGCAGGCGCGAATGCTTCTGTTGCTGGCACACATCAACCTCGACAAGCCGCGGGCCCAGCTTTCACTCCAGGGGGGGGGGGCCAGATCGCGTGGAGAATTCGCCATTTGCATGAAAGCGCCTAGCCACCTTCACATCACAAATCGCGGTCGTAGGTTGAAGCGAAAAGGCAGGTTTGGGACGCAAGGCTTGCTTGGGGATGGGCCTCTTTTTTGTGTGGCTTCAAGTGAAGCGAGCCTCATGCCCCTTAAGACTTCATGCTCCGGTTTTTTCCGCGGCGCGCGGAAATCCGCAAGGCGAGGAAGCAGAAACAGGGAGCGCGCCAAAGAGCCCACGCCTCAGCGGGCGAGATGAGCAGGCCACATTGGATTCAGCGGAGTCGCTCCACGGTTTAGTACAACCGATGAGGGCCAATGTGGGTTTGGCTGCAAATGGATGGTTATTGTCCTTGGCGACAATCCCCAAAAATGGGTAAAAGAGATCCATGCAAGCTTTTTTAGTTGGGGCGCCACTCAGATGGGTGACGTGGGGGTCGTGGAATTCTGACAGCCCCCTCCTTTCCCCTTAAACCAGCACCAAGCCATGTGGGGTCGAAGCAGGTGGGCCCTGCGGGCGCGCCAGCTCTTTGCGGAGAGAGAGGAGACTAAGTTGGAGGCCCAGGCCCTGCTGGCCCTGGTAAACGTGGCCGCGCCGCCGGGCTTGGGCTAGTGCAGCCGGATTGTCGTGCTTTTTGGCGAGGGAAGACTTTGGGTGGTTTGATGTGTTGGGTCAAGCTTTTTGATAAGGGGCTTGATGCAAAAGCCGGTGTTGGCACTTGTGAGTGCCGCAGCGCAGGTAAGGCCTTCAGCCGAATGCGCCCAGCCCCCTCCATGGAGCATGAGGTGGATGGGTCCAGGGTTTTTGGACGGCCAGGTCCTGAAGGATCGCAGGGACTGTTTTGCAGCAGCCGAAGAGACAAAGCAGGCCGGCACGGCGTAGGGGGGTCGATCCAAGGGAGAAGAAAAGGACAGCCACCAGTTTTGAAGGTCCCCTAGTTTGAGACAACATGCGGATCTTTGTTTGGGGCGCTTTGTGATTGACGGGCTAAGCTAACATGAGAGAGGTCTTTGAGACAAGGCAATATGTTTCATCATGACCCCGGGATGGGCATGTTTTCGCTTGGAACACCATTCAGAAGGGCAGCCTGCTTTGACACATGGCATTGAATCAGAACCTAGAGACCTTTTGAAACCGATAGTGAGAGTTTGTTGTCCTTTCGGCTTTCTTTCAAAGTCCTTTTGGGATCGTTTTGGTTTCCAGAAGATCATTTTGCTTCTGAATGAATCGTTGGCCATTTCCCCAAAAGGCGCGACCCGTGTCGCTTGCCCGCATCGCGTCGCGTCCGTTTCTCCCCGCAGCTCGTGGGTGCCGCGGTCCCGCTGCTGCGGTCCGTGAAGGATGTGGCGGGGGAGGGGGTGGCGATGCACGGCCTGGCCTGGGAAGCCCAGAGCTGACTTGAAATGGGTGGGGACAGGGAAGGGGGCTTAGGGAATTGAGGGAATTAAGGGAACACGAAGCGGGGAAACGAGGCCAGCCGAAGACCGGCTGACTTGCGGTTGGTTGCTTTAGGAATTAGACAACCATATGAAGTGCGCCCGAAAACTCCATATTATTGTTGGACTATTGCCGGTCTATTGCTAGTTTGGAGGACAAAGCGGCCTGATGCTGAGCGCCTGATTGGTCCCCAGTTCAGATCAGGTCTCTGATTCCCTTGCGGAATGTCGTGTTCTTTGTGCGAATGGGATAGTTGGGTCACGAGCGCAAGTGCTGACTTTTTTCCTCAAGCCGACTTTCCAGTGGGAAGGAGTTTGCAGATGCTTGCAGCTCAAATAGGAGCCCTTCAGCTAATTTGTGATGATTCCATCCAGGCTTCAGCAAGCATTTTGCTCCAAGAGTGCTTGGAGCGAACGCTGAGAGGGGCAAGCGCACACACCACATATAGTCAGATAGTCACTTAGTCTGCTCGCGAGCGCAATGGCGGACACAGTGAGTGAGGAGAAGTATGTGCCTGGCAAGGGCCTGGACCGCGGCGCCAATGCGCGTTTGAGGGCACGCCAGGTGCGCTGTGGGAGGTTGTGTTTCATTGTTTGGTTGAGCGATTGTTTGTTTGGTCGGGGCGTCTTCCCCCTACCCCTTCGTCCCATGGGCGCAGCTCAGCGACAGGCGGAGGTTGAGAAGAAGCCGGAGGGTCTCGATGCGGAGTTGCCCGGGAAGGACAGAGGGTGGCCATGTTGACTCCCCGGGTTGTATGGCTTGACGTGCTTGTTTGTTTGCTTGCTTGGTTTGTCTGGTTTGGTCGGTTTGTTTGTTTGTTTTGTTTGTTTGTTTGGCTGGTTGGTTGGTTGGTTGGTTGGTTTCATAGTCGTTCTTGGTTTGTTCGTCTGTTGTGCTTGGTCATTTTGTCCGTTGTGCTGACTTTTTCACTGCCCCCTCCTCTCCTCCAGGCTCAAAGCCAACTGGCCGACAAGTTTGCAGCGCGATACACGGTGGGGCATTTTTCTGGTCGATGAACAGTTTGACGAGGTCCTCCTGTTCAGCTTCACAGCTTCTCGTTGGTCGCCTCGAGTCGAGGACGGCTCCTCGCAGACGGACTTCTTATTGGGTAACGGGGCGCAGAAGGTCGCCAGGCGGGGGTTGGATGCAGCGGTCCAATATGGGTTCGCCACCTTGGATACATGACCACTAGATGGTGTTCCCAACCTGTTGGTCCAAAAGCCAGATTCGGGGCCAACAAAAAGGATTGACAGAAAACAAAAGACCATATTTGAAATTGCCAGTGCCGCCCCCAACTTTCCTGCCTCTCTTCCCCCCCCTCCCGCATGGGGAGGTGTGGCAAGTGCACACGACCTCTGGACCCCGCTGCCGTGGAGTCGAAGGTCTTCCTTTGCTCGCGCTGCTCCGGCCGGGAGGGAGGGCGTTGGCTGGGCAATTGGTTGGTCTTCCGAAACGGTGGTTGGGGGTTCTTTTGGCTACGAGAATGGACTGCTTTTTTTGCCAACCATCGCGAGGTTGCTCTTTGGCTTGACCATTCAATCTTTTTGAGGAGTGTTTCCTGACCAATTGGCAGCAACAGGCAACCGAATGGATATGGTATCCACAAATCGTTACGGCTGGATGATTTGAATCAGGCAGCTGCAGGTTTTGGGCATTAGCTGGAAGAATCCACATCTTTTTTTGAACAGCGCAGTCCTTTTGGGCAATGGTATGGGGCCCCTATAAAAACAAAGCGCTCTTGGAAGGATGCTTCCCCAAGGGCTGTCACACGCGCTTGGTTGTTTGCGGCAGGCAAGGGCGACTCCCGAAGCACCGGCGCGCAAGGCCAAGGCTGGTCCGGGTGTGCAAATCTGAGAACCCTGATACTCGGTCAGTGACGGGGAACTGGAGCATGTTGCAAGGGAGCCAACCAGCCAACCATTGCTGTGGAAGTGGATGGTGATTCCTGAAGCACATCAGATTGGGCAATCATCATCATCATCATCATCATCATCATCACCATTATTATCATCATCATCATCATCATCATCATCATCATCATCATCATCATAGTCATCGTCATCGTCATCGTTATCGTCATCGTCATAGTCATTTTCATCGTCGTCGTCGTTGTTCTCGTGATCGCCATCATCATTGTCCATCATCATCGTCATCGTCATCGTCATCGTCGTTGTCATCGTGATCGCCATCATCATCGTCCATCATTATTGTCATCGTCATCGTCATCGCCGTTGTCATCGCGTTCGCCATCATCATCGGCCATTATCATCGTCATTGTCATCGTCATCATGCTCATTATCGTCATCGTGATCGCCATCATCATCGTCCATCATCACCGTCATCGTCATCGTACTCATTATCGTCATCGTCATCCTCATCCTCATCGTTATTATCGTTTTCATCATCCTCATCATCGTCATCGTCAGCTTCATTGTCATATCATCATCTGCAGCAACGGGAATGATGTCGGGCACACACACACACACAGGGACACACACAGAGAAGGCGGCAGCGGCTGGGATGGCTGGAGCGGCTGGGCTGGAAGCTTCTTGGCCCTAACATTTTCAGCGGCCAAGGTACGAGTCATTTTGACGTGTCCACGGTGTCCTCACTCAGATAAGGCGTTCGAAGGGAGCTCTGAGACCTGTCTTCAGACTGATATCCTTTTTCACACTTGTCACTGTCCTTAACTTGGAGCACACCCCCGTTTCGGATCTTCTTTTTCAACGGAACACCTGAAGCAAAGCGGGCATTTTACCAATTTTTGGACACGCTCATTTCCTGGGCGTTCTGGGGTATGGCTGCCCTCAAAGATGGGTCCAGCTCTGGTGGAAGTTCCGATTCTGCCCCTGCCCAGGTCTGATGCCTTGTAAATTGGTCATTGCCTAGACGGTTTGTTCTTCCGGAAGGTAGCCCATGCATGCATCTGCTGACTGAGGCTGGGATGGTTGGAGCGACAGATGGGACAAGGATTGGAGCAAAGGCAGATGGTAAAAAAGATGTGGCGCGTGCACGCGGGGAGCGTGAGGAAATTGATCCGGCCTCAAGGAGCTAAGATATACGACATGCAGCGGCTTTTGCCTGAGGCGTGTGCCAGAGCCCTCGTCGGATCTTCCGAGCCTTGGCAAAGCATGCGCAGCTTTGTGTTTTCATTTCTTTTCCACACGTGGGAAGACTGGACACCCAGGGCGCCCAAGAAGGTCGCATCGTTAGAGTTTGAATGGGTTTCTGTTTCAGTGTCTTGCTTCGGTCCGCGCTCTTTTGGCAGGGGAAGGGCTGTATGTGCCGGCCAAGAGGGCTACAGGCGCAGGGCAACGTTTGAAAGGTCGGCGGTGTAGCAGGTGCCTCAGATCCCACCCCCCATATATGAGTTTGCCTCATGACGGACCCCCAAAATGGCGCATGTTAGAAAGAATTGCCTACCTTTCTCCCTTTCAGGACCATCGCGCCGCTTTTTCTCGCCCAGGAAGGGGCGGCCGAGGCGGGCCGGGAGGCGCTCGAGCTCTTCCGGCAGGCCCCTGAAACCTCGGGGTTGGGGTGCGGCTCGGAGAGGAGCTGTGCCATGGCTCGGACAGTGTTGCAAGGGTGCGGCCAAGGATGGCTTTCTTTTGGATTTGGTACTTTCTTGGCTTCCCTCGTCGGCTTCACGTTTGGGCCCTGTTCTTTGGCCAACATTAACCAATCGAATGGGTTTAACCGCTTTGGACACACAGCTCGGCGAGTTGGGTGGAGGTCACTTCCCGAATGAGGGCGGTGTTCCCTCTCTCTCATTACCCCCATTCGGATGTGATGGAAGGCATGAGGCTTTGTCGTGATTTCTTAATCTGTTGTGGCGTTTTGGCTTGTTGGGTGTTTTCTTTTCATGTCAGGTTTTCGCTTGAGAGTCGTGACATATTTGAGCGGAACAAAGACTGTGCTTTCCATTCAGTTGAAGTCTCTGGAGGCCACTAATCCAAACCGAGATGCTATCAATGTATCAACAAACCTCAAGCTTACGTTCATCATTGGGTGTGGTTAAAAGTTGAAGGGTCAGGGTGTATGCAGGTTTTGGTCTTTCAAATTTACCCAGGGCCATTTTGGGCACCATTTTTTGAGCCACAGCCACTTGGGGATGTTGTTAGGAATGTGAATGCGACTCGCTGACTAGAATTGAGGCTCAGACAATCAATTCCTTTGAAGGGTCGTGTCAAGCCTTTGACGGAGGTAGGGGCTCCCATTGAGGGTCGATCAAAAGGGGATGCTTTGTGCTGGATCCTCAGGCAAAATGACAGATACCCAAACTGGACCCTTTCTTTTTGAATAAGACTCATATAGTTTTGGACTTAGAGCGGTATCCCGGGTGCGACTGATTCAATGGGTATGGCAACCCAGTGCTCAGGCTTGGTGAAAGTCGTAATGGACGTGACTACGGCGAAACAGAACAACGGCAATTGAGAGCAATGATGTGCAGTTCCAACGCAACGCGACAAATACTGAGCAAGGGAGTTGACATCAGACACATCTCTGAATTGGTGTGAAGCTCAGAATTTCATTGCCACACGAACCTCGCTTTTCCCATCTAACATTTTCCGACCTCCCTTGGATTACCCTGGGTTCATCCACTCTTGCCCGTGGCTTCTCATGATGGAAAAGCTCTTGAGAAGGCGGCTGGACAAAATTGGCTCAGACATTGGATCTAGGATGTCACTTCTTTTCGCGAATCCAGCATTCTCCAGCGAATTGCTTCGGAGGATTTCTCATTCGCCGGTTCTTTGAAGAATAGTTCCACTCAGTGGAAAGTTACGGCCAGGCAAAGCAACGAAGGTTTGAAGCCTTTGAGTTGCAACTTGGCCTGAGTTGCTTCGAGCGATCAATGCACCACACCGGAACTTTACCCTCCCAGTCATCCGGAATCCTTCAGCTGGCGGGTGGAAGTACCTTTGTGATTTCCAGGGCCGATGGCTAAGCCCATGAGGGTGTTTCTTTGAAAGGGAAACCAGAAGGAAACTACTAGACCACTATTTTGAGAAACACCCGTGGATTTTTCCATTCTGGGTTCAGACGATGCATTCGGGGGGGGGGGGGGCATGTGCACCGCATGAAGCCAGCTGGAAGCTAACTGCGGCGTGGTGAATGAGTCCAGTGAAGTGTCCATCATGGGTGCCAAATCTTATGAAGGTTGGGAAGAAACATGGGAGTGACCAGTCCAGAAATACAGACATCGAATTAGAAGATCATACAAGTCCGATACTTGTCCCTAATATGACAATAATTCCCTACAAATGGAAGACCGCTCCGGATTCGTATGGTCCTCCGGAAAAGTCCGAAGTTAATATTGCTGACCGGACCAGCAACGGGCCTTTGTGAGCATCATTCTCCCTCCAGATGGGCCGGCACGATGCTGCGACTTTCAGGCATTGCATTGCTGTTTGGCTGATCAACAAGGACCGTGCGACCCCCCACTTGAGTCTTGAGCCGCGGGGGCCCCCTGCTTTGCCCAAGGCCTCGAGCCTCAGTCCGGGTAGATGGTCCCAAACAGACATAGGTGTGGGTGCACGAAATCCTGCACCACTTGGCGGGAGATTTATGCAAATACTTATGTGTGGGGTTTCATCCATCCAAGTGGTGCAGGATTTTGTTCACCCACAGCAGGTGTAGGAATCTGCCCTTTTGATTCGATACTCTTGGACAGACTTCCTGGATGCAGGTTTTGTGTATGGCTCCCATGAATCTGCTGAGAGGACTCGGACGGTGCTATAGAAGCTGCGGAAGAGTCATTGGAGATCTATGTACAGGACTGCAGACAGAGCACCTGCGGTCTGCATGATGAAGAAAGGCGCTTCAGATTTGCTCAGAGCAAACAAGGGACCAACGCCGACATTGAAGGAGAAACAGCAAGCCTTTTCTCAAGAAGCGGTGTGAGCCTCGGTCGGAGTCGGCTTGGTGGGAAAGCATCAACCCCACACGTTGGCGTCAAAACACCAGCGAAGGTCGGCAAAGGCTATGGCTATGACTAGAGGTCCCTAAGTGGGGAATTCATGACGGGGTTCCCCCAGCCATGTCACCTACCGGCCGAACATCGCCCAAAACTCAAGTTTAGAGCCACCCAAGGCGGTGCTGCGGACGCTGATGCGTGCATACGCTGACAGCAAGGCATGGATCTTTGAAGCTGGAGGGATAGCTGACGGTCGATCAGCTTCAATCCAAGCCAGTGTGCAATTCAGGGAGTGAGCCGCTTGGTCCAAAAAAACAGCTTGGTGTCAACAAAACAGGGTTCTCGGTGCCCACTTTTCAATTTGAGTCGGCCACACGCCTGCTGGCGCGACGTGTACAGGCGTTCAACCGAGCAGTGGAGACAGCGAGGGAAGCCCTCGAGCGCTACGAGTCCGGTGGGAGGAAAGCGCAGGAGGGGATTGCGCGTGGTTGAAGCCCCGCCGATTTCAAAAGGAGAAAGGTTTTGATGACTTCAAACGTCCACCCAGAACAGCAGTTAAGAGTCCCTAAGGTTGGGCTGATCTGTTTCAACTCGACATGTTTGAACCACGGTTGCTTCAATATCCTTTGTCAGTTTCCCTTCGAAGGAGCCCAACAGTTTGAATTTGGACCGACGGAAGCAATCTTCAACGTTTTGGGAGTTCTCTCAGCTTTACCTCTGAAGGGTATCACTCCCCCGGAAAAAAAAGAGAACCACAACAAATACGGCAGCCGCATGTTTGCGCCGTTTTCTTCAGAAGACCCAGGCCGCAGCCCTGGAGATGCTGGCGCTGGGGCTCTCGCAGTGTGGGGAGCTGCTGGAGGCAGGTGGCTGGGGAAGGCACCTCAGAGGTGGTTGGGAGTGCGTCTAGCAGAGATCTTGCGCTTGGAGAAGATGGACGTGTTTTTCTTTTTTGTAAGTTTGAGGAGTTGCCAAGTTTTGACACATATCTGGTTGAAGGAGCACATACTCCAGGGGTATGCGGTTATTTCCCTTCCATCAGTTGACCATGAGCACTGGCACGCATCCAGCTTTTACTCGCCGCTCGACGTGGCAGGCTGTGAAGGCTACGCAGCAGCAGGTGGGAACTTGCGTTGGGAAGTGGAAGCTCGGCCTTCCCTTTCAGCTTATCGATTGAATTGGTTGCTAACAAAAGGTGTTGCCCTGGAAGAACAACCCCCCGAAAGCACAGCCCTCGAAGAACTACTGGGGGAGTGTTGACCCAGCATGAAAGAACACCTAGTGGACTTTAATGGACGGTGCAAATTCTCCAAAAGTGATTTGGCTGACCCAACCAGGGCTTATCGATCCTGGATTCTTCTTACCCTCAGTTTGTGACTTGAATATGTAGTTTGGAGTCGAACGGCTGTTTTGAAACAACTCACATGTCGGAATTGCCATTGGGTCCGCTTGTGCTCTTGTCACCTGGTCCCCCGATCACAGGTCCTTTGATCCTCTCATCTTCGTGGTCCGTAAATCAACCTAACTCGAGCGTAAACTTGCCCTACAGCATTTGCCACCGTTTGGGTTGTAAGCGCCCCATGTCGGAGCACCAATCATGCTACGATCACTGCATTTCAAGGTGTCAAGAGATGTGCTTCCATCATTGCTTCGAATTGCAACGCTGCATTTGTCGACAGACATGCATCGAGTCTGTGCAGCAAGCTTCCATTTCCGTATGTTGTTTCTTTCAGGGAACCTGACTGGACAATGCTCTATTCTTGGCATCATATTGGCAGGAAAGGACCACAACAGCAACATGGGCCTGTCTTGTTTGAGTCGAGGGTACTCATTGCTTTTTGGGAGTTTTAAGGGGAAACCAAAAGGAGACCCACCATTTTGGAGGGGTCCAACCTCAAAAACAGCCACACCCACATCTTACATCACAGATGCCATTTCGGAGTGCCAGGCTGCGATCTTGCTGGAAGAAGGGGACAAGACCGGGAGGGCACGAGCGCCGGGGCCTTGGCGCTTCCTTTTGGGCGGAAACGGTTCTATGGGATGGGTTGCGAATGGGATATGGGCTCCAAATCGGGACCTGGTTTCGCTTTGGTGTTCTTGGAAGACGACCCCTAAACCAGGTGCCTTCAACAGAAGCACGCACCTATATCTTGTGCGAGCCAGTCCTTGTTTTTTGGTGAGATAATCAGCGGTTTTGGAGAACCCTTTGTTGACTTCCTTCCGGCAGGCAATCCACCAACAATTTCGTGTTTCAAGCTTTGGCCTTTGACACTCTCACTCAGTGGCGCGAGACTTGGTTCTACGTGAAAAACGTGCCGAACCTGCGGGACGTGTGTGGGGGGGGACCTTGCCCTCCAAAGATATATATATATATATATTGTCCGTTCTCTCATCTCATGTTATCACCAGGTTGTCGCATTTCCTTGAAGTACTATGCTAGGTGAAGTCCAACTGGGTTTTCCCAAGGTGGCGGGTTTTTTGGTTTCCATTCAACACCTTCTCTTTTGTGACCCGAAGCGTCATTTCTTTACCGTTGCGCAACTTTGTCCGCCGCCCGTTCCACGCCCCGGCGCTCGGCGTTTCCATTCAACACCTGAAAATACGCACAACCGTTCTTTCCATGAAACCTTCCAGAAAGCCACCCAAAACCAATAGAACGATCCTGGAAAGATGGTACAAAGGAACGATGGCTCAAAAAAATGGTTGAGAAGAATGGCAAATACACCCCGCGCTAGAGGAACCACGCAGGTGGAACTCCTTGAGGAGGGAGATAAGAATTAGACAGCGGCTGTGGCTCCCAGATCAAAAGTAGCTTGCTCGTGTCTGCACTCTGGCCCTGCATTCGCAAACATACGTGTTGCGCATGCATGTTCCTTTTCCTGCCAATAATTACGTGAGTCTTCCCAAAAACACAGAGATGCCCTGGAGGGTGGACTCAAAACAAGAACCACTGGTAACGCAGCAATTTGAAAGTAAACCAACCAGCCAGCCAGCCAGCCAGCCAGCCAGCCAACCAGCCAACCAACCAACCAGCCCAATTCGACTACAGGCATCTCCATTTGATGGCTACGTGGTTTCCCAAGCAATGATTCCTCTTTTCGGTGGTTTCCCACCCAATGGTTCATCTTTTCAGTGCAATGGTCCGTTTTCCCCAACGGTCCCATGTTTCCCGGACCTTTTGATCACCCGAATCGCCGACGTCGACTTGGACCATTCGGCCGACGTTCCGTGTCGAGGCTGCGGAGCCTGTGCCGCCTCTGCGCCCATCACCGGGACTTCGAACAGGGCATCGAGGCGGCCTCTGAGGCGCGGGCGGTTTTCCTGAAATCCAACCCCAAAGAGGGTAGCCTCAAAAAGAAACACACACACACATTTTTACATACATACATGCATACAATGCGGGATTGTGAAATATCCCCGCGCCTAAGAATTATGAAGGGACGTAAAACCCTGCAACACGACAAGAGTAAACAACGCGATAACAGGGCGTCAGTCACGATTTTCAAGCTGCAGCAGCTGTGCAAAGTTGCGATTTCTGAGCTGGAGCTGCGGAAGTGTACTTCGCGTACCAGACTTGTACTACAAAGTTGCGATTTCTGAGCCGGAGCTGCCGAAGTGTACTTCGGTACTAGACTTGCGCTACAGATTGACCCCCCTGCAAAACGATAACAGTAAACAAACGATATCACGTTTGGGGGACAGCCAATCGACACGGGGTGTTTTCACAACCCCATGTGTCTCTGTTGCTATTGCCGATAGTAAAGACCTACCAAGGGGGTTGATGGACATGCGTGAACATTGGAGATTGTTTCTTACCCGGGGGAAACATGACAGGCAACAATCCTTGGTTTTCTCGTTTCCCCTTGGTCTTTCCATTGGTTTGCCTTGGTTTTCCCTTGGCTTTCCCTGGTTTCCCCTTGGTCGTGGGGCGATGGGCTGGGTGTTTTTGCTTTTGCTGTTGCCCTGTGGCTTCCCCTTGCTTTCCCTGTGGTTTCCATTGGTTTCCATTGGTTTCCCGTGGTTTCCCCTGTGCTTCCTCTTGGGCTCCCTTGGTTTCATTTTGGTTCTGCCTTTGTCGCAGGCCGCGTCCATCTCAGCCGAGCTGAACCAATCAGAGCAGGCGCGTGCCTTATTGGGTACTTGGTTTTCGGAGGGTGCCCGGGTACCACACACATGCCTTGGTGCAGGATCAACATACCAGTCTCTGGTCCATTTTGGAAGACTTTTCTTTTGAAAAAGCGATCTTTATACGTATTTTTCCTTCAAGGGGGTATGAAGGGGTATGCAAGACCAATCCTAGATTGCGCGACTTTTTCAGAGAAGGAACCCCAAACTCGCCTCCAAACATGTTGTTTGGCATCCCGCGCGAATTTTCAGGCGAGGAGAGGAGAATCATCAGCCCTTTGATGGGGATTCAGTTGTAACCCAAGACACGGGGCGCCTCTTGAGGGAAGTAAACAGAAGCCATGACCCACAACTGGAGTTTCGACACCCTGGGGTCGTTTTTCGCCTTACCATCCAAGCAATCCGCGGTGGTATTGACCCCCCGTCTTGGTACCCATTGGCCAGGCTTTGGCGCTGCAGCTGTTGGCGGTGGGCGCCTCAGAGGCTCAGTCGAGGTTTGCCGCGTGGTGTCCTAAGGGTCTGAAAATGGTCTGGAAATCAGCTCGGGTGATATCCCCAGCGCCCCGCCCGTTTTCCATTTGGGTTCCAAGGTTGAACATGGTCTGAAGAAAAGTGGATACCCAAATGGCCCAAATGGGTCAAGACACAGGGTATGGTATCACTCTGTCCGGAACCAGGCACAGGGTACCATGGTATCACTCGAAGTTCATGTTCCGGGGGAAATCCGCTGGCGTTTTAATCTGGAGGACAAACCGACAGCGGGGCTCTGCGGTTGCCTCGAGTTTCGAGAGCCGAGGACTGCCACCGGTGGAACGATGCATACACAGATGCCAGGCAGGTCGCAGCCCAGGCTCGGCGAGTTGCGAATTGGGATAAGACCAGTTCTTCAAATTGACGCGAAAATGGGAGAGGTTTAGCACCATGAACGCAGCTTTCCCCAAATTGGTAGATTGGTGGTTTGGTGGTTAAGGGCAGTTTCCCGTTTGCCCTCTACGAGAACCAGGGATTCAATCCTTGAGCTAGCAGACCTCGTTTTCAATGCAAGCTGTGAATACTGCAACGCCAGGAATGTTCGCTTGAGCAAGGCAAGTGCCACACTCCTCGCGCCCTGCATGGAGTGCTTGGGCCTTTGTTTTCCAAGTCATTGCCTTTCTTGGCTTCAATATTTCCCATGCATATTCAAGGTTTCCCAACTGTTCCCATAAGGTTTCCCCCCAAAGTTTTCTTTGAGTTCCATTCGTTTTTGAAGTCGCTCCCAGGAATGAGGCTTGGGGAAATAAGGAATTTTGTCCGCTGCTCATATGGGGTTATCTCCAAATAGAGAAACCCCAAAGCGGGTAGTTTTGCTTTGACCACCAGGCACTCTCAAAAAAGAGGCACCCCATATATTGTTGTAGTATATGTATGCATTCATACATGTGAGCATCAATGCATATGTTGGGTGCGACTGCACGCGGCGGCGGCGAGGAATCGGGGCATAACCAACCGACAGATCTTGAAACGTTCAAACACGATATTCAGAACCCCAAACTACTTGTTTAAAGGGGTCTTTCTCTTTAGAAACCTCAACCCCCACCGAATCTTAGTGAACACGCAGGCGCGTCAGCTCTACCGCCGCCTCGGGGACCGCAACAACGAGGTGAGAGCCACCATGGGCCGGCGGCACGGGCGGTGGGTTTTCGGGAAAGGCTACCACTTGCATGAGGCTATATGCCTTACAAACTTGCAATCATGCTATCTCTCCATACACATTCATGGGGTTGTTTGTTTTCAAGGGAAAACCAACTTTGGGATCCTAGTTTTGTGAAAAGCCATTCCGTTCTTCTTGGAAGGGCCCTCTTTGGTCGAAGTAAAAGGGCTCGAGGAGATTGAAGATCCCTCCAAGGGCCAAATAGAGGGCTTGTTGTCCGTGCATAGGCCAATAACAAATGTTCAGTGCGTTTCTTTTGTTTGTTGTGGACGAACAGTCGTTGTAGAACAGAAAGTCTCGGCACTGCCAACACAACCAGTGGCCATGCTGATAAGTTACGAAGAGTTGCCAAAGAAGTGTGCTTGTTTCAGTGTGGGCTTTACGAACACCATGAGGGACCGCCAGTGGATGGGGCATGGTCGTTTTTCTTTGTATGACCTTAAGAAACTGACGGATCCATAACCAAAGCACTCCAATGGCTCATGTATCCCATGTATCTGATTACGCGCATCCAATGGGTACCCAGCATTCATGTGCCCTTCATCTCAGTTTGGTGACCCCACCAACCCCACCAACTTCTGGGATCTCAGGACCCACTCCAAAAACCACCCCCCTTCAAAAGAAACCTGGAAACCCGTGCAAAACCTGGAAAGCCGTGGGAACCCGCACCCGGATCTCGATCCGCTCGGACTCTCCGAGTCGAGGTCTGCGCGGTGCTGCAGGCGTGCCACGCCTCGGCGCTGGGGGGGGACCGGGCCACGGCGCTGGAGCTGGCCGGCGAGGCCCAGGCGAGAGGGCGGGCGACGCGGCGGGAGTGGAGGCGGACGTGTCATGTCGGGAGTTTTATGGTGGCTATGGGAGCCCCAACATGGTGGGGTCCTCTTTTGGGTTTCCCCAACCAAGAAGGGTGTTTTTAGGGAGCGTAAAAAGAGACACACACACACACAGATGCAAGGCTGCCTTTTTGGTCCAGGGCGAGAAATGGAATCAACAAATTGGGGTTCAAGAATCAGGAAAGTTTGAGGTTCCAAGTCTGACAAGATTCCTAATTTCATCAATGAAGGCCTGTATGGGACAGTTGGGCATAGGATCTTGGCTCCCAAGGTTGGGGACCCCTGCAATTGGATGATATTTCTTTTTGGTTGGGTCCTTTGAGGACACCTCCCTCCAGGTAATTTGGTCGTGTGGGCATTCTAATTGTTCAGTTTCCCAAAGTTTGGCTGGGACGGGGACAGCTTGAAGGCTTGGGTCTGGGAAAGCAACCATGCAGGGATGCTAAAAAGTTACTGGGAGAAGACATTTCAGTATCTTTGAGCCTTGAGATTCCTAACTTTTGATCGCCCCATGTGCCCACGTGCACGTGTTCCATGTGCCCCAGCCAGCCATTTGGTTCTCTTGTCCATTCAGCGGAAGCCAAGATTTCAGTCTGCAGGATATCGCCAAACGGGCTGGGTGCAAGAGCCTTCAAGGCTGGGGGCTTTTCGGTGACTCCGAGTTTCAAGCCAAAGATGGCACCAGCGTGCGCGTGTGCTCGCTTCCCACCCCTTTTGCCATTTTGGTGACCTAAGTTGAACAGACGAAGCCTTGAGACAACTGTTGGGCTGCATCCAAGAGGGCACCAAGTGCGGGGGGGCTGGTTGCTGTGCGCCCATTCGGCTGGTTTCCTTGCCCAAGGGTTAGGCGCCGCCCATGCTGCGACCCGGGGCACTGAACACGGCAATCTGTTGCCGCTCCCTGGAGCTTCCACGGAGAGGAGGCTGGGAAGGCAGAAGGTCGAGGAATGAGCTTCCTCCCTTGCGCTTCCTGATTTCCATCTGGCTTGATTTTCCCAGGAATCCATTTCATGATTTTGAGGTCACCCCAAAGCGGTTCGAAGGGGATCCCAAGAAAACCCACCCATGTCCTGCCAAGCCCAGGCATCTGCTGGCAGGCGCTAGCCAGTCTCCACTGGGCTGCGGGCTCAAGTTTGGGCTGGCCCCCGAATTCTGGTCCTAAGGGATACCAAAGGCGAAACATTTGGAGACATGCCCGTGAACTTCAACACTTGCGCTTGCGCCAGTGCATCGAAAGGCCTTTCCAGAGAGGGCCTTTCAACTCTGACTCGGCCCAGTGAGTCAGCGAGGCAGCAAGGTGTGATTTTCAGCTCTTCCGAACTTCCCCCGGAAAACGACGAGGCAAAAACGAGGCACTCCCGACTGGGAACTGAGGACTGGGGTCGCCTGGCGGACGCCCTGAAGATGGCCAAGAAGGCCAGGCCGCACCGCGGCTGTTCGATCCGTTCGCGCGCGGGGACTTCTTCCATAGAAATGGGTCGAAATTGAGTCAATGGTCAAGATTGGGGTCCTTGTTTTGTTTGCTTGTTTTCTTGTTTTGTATTTTTAATGCCCCCTTTACAAGGTGGCACACGGCGACAAGAAGGTGAAAAAGGGGCCAGCTTTTTGACAACGCGCTATCTAGAGGGACATTGTGGGGGCTCCGCTTTTTGCGTTCATGGTTGCATGATGCAAAGGTCCTCAAAAAGAGCAGCCGTCACACCATAAAAGGAATCCACCAACATTAGATCTTAACAAGTCGGTTTTTGTTCATCCAATTTTCGATAGGGGTCCTTTGAGGTTTGTCGGCTTGGACCTAGACGTGCTCTGGTTTCACTTTGTATCTTATCATCCGCTGCCACCTATTGTTGCAAAACCCACAGCTAGGCTTTTTCCGTCCAAACCCCAGTTGGTTTTTGGCAAGACATTGTTTCGGCCCTTGATCCGGGCTGCTCAAGCTTCGCACATATAAGGAACCTTGTGGGTCTCCCGTGTTCTATATGGCAGCAATGGAGGAGCCGTTCCACCTTGGTCGGTTGTTGGTTCCTTCGGTGAGTGTACTGGTTGGTTTTCCATGAAGGATTCCATTACCTTGTTGGTATCCGGTGATTGAGGGCTCAATAAATTAGTGTTGGTCACCAGATTTGCGAACATGTGGTGACCAGAGGTTTCTCCTTTGGGGAGTTTTCTCGTGCAGGCGCTCGCTTGTGCGAGACGGGCTGGCAACTGCAAGGACTTGGGATCACGTTGGCGTCTTGTTGAAGGGGTTCTCGCAAAGGGTTTGCTTCTAGCATATCATTGCAAACGCGTGTGTGTGTGTGTGTGTGTGTGTGTGTGTGTGTGTGTGTGTGTGTGTGTGTGTGTGTGTGTGTGTGTGTGTGAGTGTGTGTGTGTGTGTGTGTGTGTGTGTGTGTGTGTGTGTGTGTGTGTGCGTGTGTGTGCGTGTGCGTGTCTAGCAAGCCGTTTAGCAACCCAAAACACATAGGTTGACGCATTTGAACGGGTCACTCCAATGGCAGAACTCGCAAGCTTCTTGGCACGTTTGTTCACCTTGCCCAGGATGAGTGCAGATGCATCCTGCTGTTGGTCATCATGAATCTGGCCATCAGCCAGTGCCAGGACAAGGGACTGTGACATGAACCAAGAATGTTGGGTTCACAACGATTTCTCCAGATACCTTGTTCGTGAGCAGAGCTGGGGCAATGTGGAACCTTCTTTTGGAGGGTTGCAACAAGAAGCGGAAAGGACACTGACATGCTGACTGTTGCCCTTTTGTCTCTAAATTAGCGACACGGGAGCGTATTCTTGAGCAGACAAGACACTTGATGCATTTGGGAACCTGGTTCAGTGTTGGAGGCATTCCATTCCGCACCTTGTGAGCATCTCAAGGTAGCCAGTCCTTAGCTCCAAGCATGCTTCCGCATCCCTCAGTTCGATGTCCAACAGCCTTTTCTCCGCCGTCTTCACTGATGGGCGCCCGCGGATCAGCCAAGCTTTTGGCTGGTGACGGCGTGGAGCATTGGGCGCCTGCCTGGTCCGCATTTGCATTTGTGGCTGGTCTGGCGATTACAGCAGTGCACAGCCACTCCCGCCCTGAGCACATGTCATATGGCCGAGCTCAGCGGATGCTGAAGCGAAACACCCATAATCGGCCAACGGGCAAAACACCCAAGGGATTTGTGGCGTTGACGCCCACAGACCTTGCAAGACGTCGCAACTCCACAGGACGGAGCCCAAAGGCCGGCGGCATTCGGCGCAAGCTGAAGGAATGTAACAGTCCAAAGGAGTTGTCAAAGTGTTTGGAGGAAAGCAGGGAGGCGAATCTGTTGGACATCAGTGTTATCACTTCTGCCGTGCAAAAGTGTGGTCATTGCTTGTGGTGGGATGCTCTTCTAGAGGTTTTAGAGCTTCAGGATGAGCTGGACTTTGAGACTGACACTGTCTATCAGACCTCTTGCTTGAGAGCGCTGGAATGCTGCTTGAACCCCTGGTGGGTACGCTGGGACAAGAATTCACACCGCATAGCGCAGCTGGCTAGGCAGAACGAAGCGTTGCACATTGGCCAGCAAACTTGGCAGCAAAGATCGCCGGTAAGGAATAAGGACTTCAATTCTGCGCTGACCTCCGCGTTGAAGCTGTGCAGCACTGTGGGAAGTCAAGCAGCTCTCGACTGGGGAGATAATTTGTGGGCATGGGCGGAAAAGCAACGTTTTGAGAAAGATGTCGTGACATACTCAGCTTGGGCAATTCTGCTGGAACAGAGCCAGCAAAGAGACGCTGTAGCCGCCCTGATTCAGCGTGTTCTTGATGAAGGGCTACAATTGGACAATGTGTTCTTCGGGGGCTTGCTTGAAAAGGCTGCAGAGCGAAAGGACTGGAAGCGTGCCGATGAGCTTTGGGATCAAGCGGTCCGTTTCGGGATACGGTCGAACATTCTGCAGCATGAGGCCTATGCCAAGGCTCACTTTCTTTCAGGCCGCCCGGCAGCCGCCCTCCGCATCATGGACATGACTCGCGTGCCCGTGGGCTCACTGCCCTACAAGAGCCTGGTGAACTACCTGCAGGCGCTGCTCATTGTGAGCCATGCGTCTCTTGGAGAGTCCGACTTGCAGCGGCTGTCCAGCTGTTTGGGTGATGGCGCTGCTGTCATCGCACAGAAATCACCGAGAACGGCCAAAGAGCAGTGGCGGCAACTTGCAACTGTGGCGCGGAAGCTTGTTTCGGAGCCGCAGACACTCAGACTAAAACACACTCTGATCACGCACTTGGCAAAGTACCACAGCGCAATGAAAGATTGGGACAATTTTCAAGCAGGGGAAGCATATCTTGCCGCAGCTGGCTAGTCTCCACGATCGGGCAAGAAAGAGGTGGCTGCTCTCCTGTGTCAGTCGTTTACTTTGAGCAATGTGGGATGGCAACTTCAAGCCTCAAGCTTAACCTGCTTCCAGGATGGCGGTTGAATACGCAGGGCCTCAGTTGAATATCCAATGCTGAATGACGCTCCTGTACTGTTGCATAATTTATCTGCACTCCAGCAGTCCTGAGGGATCCAGGCCAGCCCCCCTCTCCATGACGCTGTTGGTGCTGCATCGTGGTGCTGCCTGCTTGAATTTCCAACAGAGAGAGAGAGGAGAGGGCTAGAGGTTCTCTTTGCCGCTGAACTACATAGCGTTTTCTGAAGTAAGCAGATGCAAACTAGCCATTGGTAAATAGTGCAATCCAGTTGGGAAACACCCAGCCGCGAGTGGACATGCAATGGACATTTGGGAATTGTGCAAGGCCTTTTTGAGGGGATGAGTGTCCCAAAACCCAGGTAAAGAGGTTCACTTTTCAAGACGTGCGCTTAATGAGTGTTTAAGCAGGTTCCTATTCAAACTGACCATGGAGCGTGCCCTACGCAATGATCCTGTTCGGCAGGTCCAAATTGATTTGAACTCTTCCAAATGGTTGTTTCCCTTCTGGCTTGTGAACACCGTCCTCAAAAGGGTCCCTTTCCACCTTTCCACATATCCCATATGGGGAGCATGTCATGAGAGCCTCTCGCCTTCCAACCACAGGACGACTCTGGGACTGGAAGTCAAGAGGAGCGGCCTTGGAAAAGCTAAGCCACGGAACGCTGCTTGCAGCACCTACAGTGCATAGGTAGCAGCATATGTATTTGTGTATATATATATATAGATATATCTAGATAAATATATATATATATATACACACACACACACCTGTGCATGATGCTATATAGAGTAAGACAGAGCAGACAGGCAGAGACAGGCAGGCAGGCAGACAAACAAAGACAGAGACAATGGCAGAAAGGAAAAGAACAGAGAACACAGGACAAGGCAAGACAAACACACAAACACATAAAGACGCACGCAAGTGAGCAGGCAAGAACGCATACAAACAAACCCACGCAAACACACAGAAGCAGGCACGCAAGCACACAGCAAGCACACAAGCAACCAAACAAACATGCAGACACGCAAACACGCAGACAAGAAAGCACGAAATGAGTCAGTCAGTCAGTCAGCCAGTCAGTCAAGCAAGCAAGCAAGCAAGCAAGAAAGCAAGCAAATACTCAATCAATCAAACAATTAGACAAACCAACAATCAAACAAACAAGCAAACAAACAAACATACGCATGCCCGGACGTACGCACCCCCAAGCACACAACCAACCAAGCAAGCAAGCAACCAAGCAACCAACCAAGCAAGCAACCAAGCAACCAACCAAGCAACCAACCAAGCAAGCAACCAAGCAACCAAGCAACCAACCAACCAAGCAACCAAGCAACAAAGCAAGCAAGCAACCAGGCAAGCAAGCAAGAAAGCAAGCAGGCAGGCAAGCAAGCAAGAACACGCACACACAAGCACACGAAAACACGAACACGCACGAACACACACACAAACGAACGAACGAACGAACAAACAAACAAGCACCCAAGCACACAAACACACAAACACGCAAGCACACAAACACACAAACACGCGAACACACAAACACACAAACACACAAACACACAAACACGCAAACACACACACAAACACACAAACACACAAACACACTTACACGCAAACACACAAACACACAAACACACAACCACACAACCACACAACCGCACAATCACACAACCACACAACCACACAAACACACAAACACACAAACGCACAAGCACACACAAGCACACAAGCACCCAAGCACACAAACACACAAACACACAAGCACACAAACACGCAAGCGCGCAAACACACAAACACAAACACACAAGCACACACACACAAACACACAAACACACAAACACACAAACACACCAACACACAAACATACAAGCACACAAACACACAAACACATCAACACACACACAAACACACCAACACACAGAAACACACAAGCACACAAGCACACAAACACACAAAAAACAAAACACACAAACACGCAAACACACAAACACACAAGCACAAAGACACAACGACACACAGACACACAAGCACACACACAAGCGCACAAGCACACACACAAGCACACAAGCACCCAAGCACACAAACACACAAGCACGCAAACACACAAACACACAAACACACAAACACACAAACACACAAACACACAAACACACAAACACACAAACACACAAACACAAACACACAAACACACAAACACACAAACACACGAACACACAAACACACAAACACACAAACACACAAACACACAAACACACAAACACACAAACACACAAGCACACAAACACACAAAAACACAAACACACAAAGACACAAAGACAGAAACACACAAACACACACAAGCTCGCAAGCACACAAGCGCACAAGCACAAGCACACAAGGACACAATCACACAAACACACAAACAAACAAACACACAAACACACAAACACACAAACACACAAACACACAAACACACACACACAAACACACAAACACACAAACACACAAACACGCAAGCACACAAACGCACAAGCACACCACACATTCACACAAACACACAAATACACAAACACACACGCAAAAACGCACAAACACACAAACACACAAACACGCAAACACGCAAACAAAGAAACACACAAACACACAACCACACAACCACACAACCACACAACCACACAACCACACAACCACACAACCACACAACCACACAACCACACAACCACAAGCACACAAACACACAAACACACAAACACACAACCACACAACCACACAAACACACAAACACACAAACGCACAAGCACACACAAGCACACAAGCACCCAAGCACGCAAACACACAAGCGCAGAAGCACACAAACACACAAACACACAAGCACGCAAACACGCAAGCGCGCAAACACACAACCACACAAACACAAAGACACACAGACACACAGACCCACAGACACACAGACACACACAGAGACCCACAGACACACAGACACACAGACACACAGACACACAGACACACAGACACACAGACACGCAGACGCACAAACACACAGACACACAGACACACAGACTCACAGACACAGAGACACAGAGACACAGAGACACACAGACACACAGACACACAGACACACAGACACACAGACACAAAGACACACAAGCACACAATCACACACACAAACACACAAACACACAAACACACACACACAAACGCACAAACACAAGCACACAAGCACACAATCACACAAACACACAAACACACACACAAACACACAAACACACAAACACACAAACACACAAACACACACAAGCACACAAACACACAAACACACAAACACGCAAGCACACAAACGCGCAAGCACACAAGCACACAAACACACAAGCACACAAACACACAAATACACAAACACACACGCAAAAACGCACAAACACACAAACACACAAACACGCAAACACGCAAACAAAGAAACACACAACACACCACACAACCACACAACCACACAACCACACAACCACACAACCACACAACCACACAACCACAAGCAGACACACACAACACAACAGCACGCAAACACACAAGCGCAGAAGCACACAAACACACAAACACACAAGCACGCAAACACGCAAGCGCGCAAACACACAACCACACAAACACAAAGACACACAGACACACAGACCCACAGACACACAGACACACACAGACCACAGACACACAGACACACAGACACACACACACACAAGACACACAGACACACAGACACACAGACACACAGACTCACAGACACAGAGACACAGAGACACAGAGACACACAGACACACAGACACACAGACACACAGACACACAGACACAAAGACACACAAGCACACAATCACACACACAAACACACAAACACACAAACACACACACACAAACGCACAAACACAAGCACACAAGCACACAATCACACAAACACACAAACACACACACAAACACACAAACACACAAACACACAAACACACACAAGCACACAAACACACAAACACACAAACACGCAAGCACACAAACGCGCAAGCACACAAGCACACAAACACACAAGCACGCAAACACACAAACACACAAACACACAAACACACAAACACACAAACACACAAGCACACAAACACGCAAACACACAAACACACAAACACACAAACACACAACCACACGACCACACAACCACACAACCGCACAACTACACAACCACACAACCACACAAACAGACAAACACAGAAGCACACACACACACACAAGCACACAAGCACACGCACACAAGCGCACAAGCACACAAGCACACAAGCACACAAGCACACAAGCACACAAGCACACAAACACACAAGCGCAGAAGCACACAAACACCCAAGCACACAAACACACAAGCACACAAACACACAAACACACCAACACACACAAACACACAAACACACACAAACACAATTACAATCACAAGCGCTAACACAAACACAAACATTCAAGCACACACACACACAAACAAACACAAACACACACACACAAGCACACACACACACAAACACACAAGCACACACACGAACACATTCAACCACAGACAAACACACATTAACACACACACACACTAACACACTAACTAATGCACACACACACGCACACAGAAGCGCACACACACACACACACACACACATTCAAGCGTGTATGTGCACAGGACCATATCTACATACATGCATGACACAACAACATGAATCATAAAGCAACAGAATGCAGTCCATTACAGTGCCCTGCATTGCATTTCATTTCATTGCACTGCATTGCATTTCATTTCATTGCATTGCATTGCATCGCATTATTTCAGGACTAGACCTAGTGGTCGCTGAGTTAGCTGGGGCCGGGGTGCGAGTAAACGGTATTCTCAGAAACAGAACATGTTTCGCTGTGTTGGCGGATGCTGGCAGGCTGCCCGTTTTTTCTTGTACAGGAACAGGCTTCAAGGCGTTCTTCCAGGCTTCAAGCTGCCGAGGAACTTGCGGAGGACTGAAGCGTGGCCAAACGTGGCCAACCAACAGAGATCGGGTTTTTCTAATGGCCAGAGGAAAAGTCGGAGTGGAAGTGTGTCTCAAACAGGGAAACTCCCTTTAGGTAGGCTTTGACGGCAAACATTTGGCCAAATGCCCGTGTGGTTCCCCAGATCAGAGTCCCCTCACACGCTGGTTTTCGCCGTCTTCCGTTCCAAGAAATGGATCCAACCGACTTGTCGAGGCACCCCTGCCTTGAATACAGTGTTCCATCCGGCAACTTGTTTGTTTGATGCCTTGTTCACCTTGTTGTGAGTCAACAGGAGCAGGTCGGGGGTTGACCAGAAAACAAGCAAGCCCCCCTCAGCCCCAAGTGCTAAGCCTTGCTGCAGCCATGCTTCGTGTGAGCACGCTTGCAGGAAGCTAGCCGCCTGTCAGACGTTGCGGGCGACGCGGAGCCGCGAAGCCGAGAACACCCACAGCCATTTAGGGACCTGTGATTCGTGCCTTTCAAGCAGATGCAAAAGCTCAGACTCACGCCCACATTTGAGCTACTCGATGGTTCAACTCTATGCTTCAGAAAACGGCCTTGGGGGCCCTGGCCGCCTTTCGCGCTCTGTTAGCGAATCCAGTTTGAACAGCCCCACTTCGCAGATTCGGGTATGGGTGCCCAGCCCCGTAAATATGCTTTGGTATCTTTTTTTGGTTTCCCTTCAAACACCAAGGGTCTTCATTTTCAATTTTTGACAGCGCCCATTCACCAACCCATCGCTGAGCTGAGGTGCTCCGCCTGCAGCCTCCATGCGATTGCCATGGTGCGCAAAGATGGATGGTTTGAACATGGGGTCTCCATGTTGGTTGCCCCAGTCAAGACCTCCAGCGCGTATGCGAAAAAGACCATGACCCCCCACCCAAAAAAAAAGGGTGATTCTTTTTTATCAGTCACTTCTTGCCACGCTTTGTCGGGGCTGACTCGATGAGCGCGGCATGGCAAGCCAAAGTGTTACGAGTTGATTCTTTCCCGCAGGTGCAGATACAAGCACAGAGATATGACGAGGCGTTCAGGACGTTCATCAGCATTCGAAGTGGCGCGTGCGCGCGTGCTATGGTCCAAAAACACGATTGTTTGCCAATCAGAGTAGGCTCAGCACCTCTCCAAATGAGTAAATCATGTTGGCTTCCTATCAAATCCAAGGATCTCATGCTGTATGGGCAATATACCCACTTCCAGCCTTATGGTCGTGAGCCCAGGGAATTCTTGGCCTTGATCCCTCGGGTCCGGCGCAGGACAGCACAAGACGCCATGAAGAAGTACCAGGAGTCCGTACCTCACGAGGCAATGAGTTTGGCTTATCAATTTGTGGCAGGTTGGAGCACCCTGCATGGACGTCATCATGTAAATGCCGTCCAAAGCATCCACAAGCGAAACTCAATGAAATGCGTCTAGGTCTTGTTGTAGGATTTTACCCGCTAGTTTCGGGTAGCAACGTCTGATCTTGGGACCATCTGGGTCATTTCCTCAAAAGACGTGCTCGTTCGCCCTTCCGGTGGTTGTTATTGTTTGAAGAACTCAACCAGTTCGTTGTTCATTTATCACGACATGCGCCACGGGCAGTATTATCAACCAGTCCATTGTTGATTTGGCCCTGGGGGGAGCAAGAAGAATGGAACACCCAGTTGAGTAGCAGTAATATTGTTAGTCGCGCAAATTGAGCGTTTCTTTTCCCAGGGTAACCCTCCTGGGGTTGTGCCGAAATGAATCTAATGAGAACCACCCACTTTGCAGGGGATGAGCATTTTCTTCCGAGCCAAGCAGGCTGACTTTGCTTTTCCGAGGATCCAGGATTTGATGGGAATCCTGCAAATGTTCCTGGGCATGGCGAAGATCCTTTTGCAAGCCAGGCGGGCCGTTGGGAAGCAGAGGGCTGACTGGCACCAGGCTGGGCAAGATTGGTTTCAGCAAGTTGCCATGGCTTCCACCGTGAAACAATCGTGATATCACGCGGACAAGCCATTGGCCCAAGCCTGGTAATCCCTGACAAGGGGGCGATTGAGTTCATCTTTGAAGCCAGGAATATTCAGATGTGCCCCAAAAGGACATGGTTTCATTTCTTGAGCCCCACATGGGTGTTGTTTTTGAGGGCACCGAAGACAGGCTGGGGCGTCTATTTGAAGACCCACCCACATGTCTCATTGGGTCCCTTTTTTGCGGGTATAAACGGAAACCAACAGCAAAAACAGCAAAGCCATCGTTTTCGGGGGATCCAACCTTCAAGGAGACAGAATGACACCAGGTTCAAGAAGACAGAATGAGGTTGGGAAAGCCGACGCCATTTGAGGATCCGAAGCCATTTCAAGAATCCCGTACTGAAATATCCGCGCCACATGTCTCGCGACGGAGGTCCTTCGAGGAGGCGGCCGCAGCGGCGGAGAGCGCCCTTTGGCTGGCGGAGCAGGCGGGCTGCAAGCCGGGGGCCCAGCCGCCGCGTTCCCAGTCGGGACAAAAAGGCCCCATGGACTTTTTGTTGACTAAGCAAAAAGGGGAATGGTGGTTGACTAAGGGCAATCCCCAGTTTTCGGCGAAAAGGGGGTAACTGCTCTTATGACATCAGAGAAACACCGGCTGAAAGAGCGAAGGTCTGATGAGGGTTTCTTTTGCTCTAGAACGGTGAGTTTATTCGGCACCTTTGCTTCTGAGCATTCTCGGGCTTGGCATGCAACGTTGATGCAGATGCTGTGCAAACAGCTCTCTCTGAGTAATATCACTGCATGATTAGCAAACCCGCGATTGGCGGTTTCCTTTTGCCTCCCAGATTCCCACCAATGCTTAATTAAAGGCCAACACCCCGAAAGACCCTACCTCCCCAACCCCCCCGGATTAAAGGTACGCCCCTGCAGCCCCCAAGCCAGGAAAGGGGCTTCCCTTTGTCTGCGCTGAAAACAAAAGGCTGCTTTTGCCATTCAACCCCCTGCGATTCATCAGGGCCCTTTCAGGCTTGAAACAAAAAGCTGCTGTTGCCACTGAAAGTCCTGTCAAGGGCCAAGAAGGCAAGGGCTGAAGAGGTTCTCCAGGTTCATATTTTCCTGTTCAATTGACTGGGAAGGGGCTAGAAATAAAAGGACGAGGACTGAAGGGGCTCGAGATTAATCAGGGGGCTCCTCGAAGAAGTCTCACTTTTGGGGGCTTGTCCAAACCTTGTCGACCTTGAACGGGGTTGGGGTGTGCGCCCCCTTTACAAATCAGGGGTAGCCCCTAGCTGAAAAACCGTCGTGGCAAACGGCTCAATGAGCGCACGGCTCTTCACCTGAAGGTTGAACCCTACAAACCGTAAACCTAAGCATTCAGCTGGTCTTAGGGTCAACGCGTTCTGTTTTTGCGTTTTGAAGTTTATGCCCTTTCAGGAGCATAATCAGCACCATCACCATCATTATCATGATTTAGACCGCCTCCTGAACATTCCATTCCATGTTGTTTTTGAGGCACCTCCTTTAGGAGGCAAAAGGCTCGGACAATGGACATCTCCACTCGCTTCGCCCTGAAGAAATCACTAGTTTGGGGAGCCCCCCCGCGCTTCTGGGGATTATTAGATGGAAGGGTCGCTTTGGGATCCTTGGAATGGGTTGTTCTCCCTTTGGCTTCCCCTTAAGCCAACCCCGAAAAACAAAAGCATTTCTGTTGAAGAGGATGTAAAGGAACTTTGCCATTTGTGGTGGTCCCCCATTTATGGGAAACCCCTACATGAGGCTTGGTCGAACATAAGTGTGCCCTGAGGGAGATGGAGGAACAAGCCAGAGCGGCCCTGGAGGAAGTTGAGCAGGCCGGGGTTGGGCCCGGGGTGCTTTCCCCCGAAAGTGGTGGCTTGCGTCAAAAGAGGGAACCCCTCTTTTCACCAACCCGGGTGCCCTGAAAAAAAACATTCCCCCAACAAATCAGGTGGGTTTCGGAGTGGATGGAAGGACTATGCAAAACAGGGGGCATTTGTTGATCTTAGGATGCCCTCACCGGTTTGAACATGTTTAAGCCGTTGTTGTTCTTGAACGACCTCATTCTGGTTCCCCTTCAAACAAATCCAGGTTTTTCGTTGCGAGTTAGGGTCCCTCTCTCCGAACCACAGCCATGGACTCAAGGTATGGAGTGTGTCGCTTCCCAGCGTTCGATGGGGCGGTTTGGACTGCCCCAATGGACCGCAGGAATGTTTCGAACGCCAAGAGGGAGCCGCTTTTGCCCTCGATTTCCGTGGCGCTTTCTTTTTGCTTTTCTTCCTTGAGTAACATTGGTTATTGTCAGGATGATTTGAAAACGACTTCCCTGTCTCGAGAAATCCTGGGCACTTCCAAGCATTCCAAGTCTGTTCTGAGACTCTTTCAGGCCGCCGAGGCCGAGTCCTCGTGCGGGCCCAAGTTGGGGAGGCGGTGATGGATCCCTTCTCAGACAGGCCAAATCTGCAGGGGAATTTCCACGAAGTCCAAAAGAGCTCCTATCAGGTCTTCTAGTTGCCGGGCACGGAATGCGTTGCAGATATGTGGGGTTGTTTGATTGGACCTGTTTTCTTTCTTCGTTGTGCACTTGGCCTTTGACATCCTATCCTTCGCCACAAAACCGTCAGCTTCTTCCTGGCACAGCGCCAATCAATGGCTTGCAGGAAGGCCCTGTGCAAGTTGAGGTTTCAGATGCGGCAGCTGCCATGAATCTCAACCCATTGCAAACTGGGTTTGTCGCGGACCCCCTCAACTCAAATGGCTGTTTTCCCGCTGGCGCAAAGCGGGCAACCAACCTCAAAAGAGGCATGTTCAAGTTCATTTTTCCATGAACAGCCGGACTCCTCGCAGCCCATTTTTGACGGTATCCTACCCTGGAATCAGAAAACAGCCGCCCATTAGATGTTCCGCCATGAAGGCCTTCACGGTAGGTGGGCTTGTCTCGACCCCCCCCCCCCCCAAAAAAAAAAAAGAGAGAGGAAGAAAACAAGGTGTTTCTACCCCAAACAACTCTTTGGAGAGGTAATCCCGTCAGAAGAAAATGGATAGCACGTCCAGTGACTCGCTGGCCCAGCCAGGTGCTTGTGTCGCTACTTTTTTTAAATCATGTTTTTTTTTTAATATAAGGGGAGGGAAACCAAAATAACGCCACCTTTTTGGATGGTACCCTTTCAAGAAGACAAACGCAAAAAATGGATCCCCACTCCCCCGTCCCCCCTCTCACCCCCTCCCCCCCGCTCCTTTCTGGCTGTCTGAGCCGAGGCGGGGCTCTCGCCCGCGGAGCCGCAGCAGCTCCAACGCCCGGGTGCCGGAGCTGCCGAACCTGCCGAAGCTGGAGCTGGCGCAGGCGGCTGGGCCATCCGGGCGGGCCCTGGGGCTCGGTACCGGGCGGGGTGTCGAAGGGCGAAGAGAACTTGGAGAAGCCGAGGGGCCCACTCTTCCCTTCCCGCAAATCTGAAGTGGATCCAAGGCGGCTTTGGTTGCAGGCTTCCCAAAGTCCTGATAGGGATGGTGCTCTTTCCGACGCTTCTCCCAGGAGGATGGAAGGACGTTTCCCACGCCTCGGCATGTCAGGCATGCGACCCGCAGCTCGTCAGAGGCTGGCTTCCGCGTACAGTGATTTGCGGTGAAGGATCCTTGATTAGTTATCACGGTGGATACGTGAGGATGGGGAGTTTTGTTTCCAAACAGGTTTATTGGTTTGATAGGTGTCAGTTGACGCGTAGAGGAGTCTTTTTCACTGATTCTGTTGCTGGCCGGTTGTAATGCGAAGGCTGCAATTTCATGATCCATAGCAATCAACTGCTGGAAATGAATGCCACGACCAAATGGGAAATGCTAAGTGGCGGACGGAATGGCTGACTCCCGGCAAGCAGCCCGCTTGTAGAGGAGTCTCTTGCTCTCGATGGATTCATGTTGTTTGTGCGGTTGGGTTTGCATATGTCTCATGGGGCAGCAAAGGGCGCTGGCGGTTGGGATCCATGTTCCTGCTTTGATCTTGGGGTTACCGGGCATGGCGGGAGCGCCTTTGGGCGCGCTTTTGGCGTGTAAAAGGCCTCGGGACAGGGCTGTGGGAAATGACCACTTTTGTGATACAACAGAAAACACAGAAGTGGGGATAAACCCCTTGATCCCACAACCCCGCTCTGGAGGTTTTGTAAACATGCAGTATGTGTCATGCTGCGCCGGGCCGTTGAACCAAAACGGCTGCGGTTCCTTTCTGCTCTCAGGGGAAGAACACCAACAGCAAGTTGTGCCACTTGCGGCAGCAGCCATGTTTCTCTGAATTTGCACTCTGGGGACTTCAAGGCAGAGCAAGAGTCTCCTTTTCTGGAGAAGCCACTGGGCATTTTGCTCGCACACAAACTAACCAGTTGTTGCTGTGTCGTGTAGACACGTCTACGATGAAGCTGATTTGGAGGATCCTTGCCCGAAGAAAAGGGGTATCCCGACAGCTTTCTTTGCCCGACTTTCCCAAGAGAGCAGCTGCCGGCTTGGCGGTTCCTTCGCCCCCAACTCAGTCAGCTGCGCTCAGTTTCTCTGGAGCCTGTCATCCTTCTGTCAAGCAGAAACTAACATTTTACTGGACCAGCGCAATTTAGATGGCATTTTCGGCTGGTTTTGACAGATTCCCAGTGTCAGTGATGTCGTGGCCGGCGACATATTTCGTACCAGGCGTGATTGAGAAGTTTGTCAATGTGCTGATCGGCTCGGATGACCTGGTTGAGCCGGACTGGCAGAAACAAGCGGGCCCCACACGCACTAATTAGCAATCAAACGAGCAAGCAGGTACACGCAGGCAGGCATGCAGTCAGTCAAGTGCACACACACACACACATGCGCACATTGTGGAACACGTGATTGATTGTGCTTTCCTTGGTTTTGGAAGGGTATGTGAGGGAGGGGTTTTCGGTCAAAGGGCCACTCCTCGCGAGGACCGACCCCTCATGGAGATGGGCCTCACCAGCCACCTTGCCGTGGTCCTGCGGGATCGACCCGCGAAGTCGCGGAGGGTTGGGTGTCACGCAAGCCTGAGTTTCCACCTGGTGACGCCCGCCGCTGGAGGGGAAGCACAGCTCCGAAAATATGGGTGTTTCTTTCTTGTAGCAGTAGGAGTTCCCAACACTGAAGTGGGTTCGCGCAGGACCAGCTTGCCAAAGTGCTGCCAGTACTGACTCCTCCCTTGCCGGTCGGGATGCCAAGACTGGGCGGATGGTCACGAGCTCGTGGTGGCTGAGTGTGGCTGAAATTTGGGTTGGTCAGAACTCCGGCGTTGAGAACGATAAAGCCAGGTTGGTGACGAGGATGTCGACACTGATGCATGGGTCTTGCTCCAAATTGCTGGACGTGGCAGTGGTTGTTGTGGCCGATGATCCTGATGCTGAATGATCGTCGATGATGATGCTGATGATGCTGATGATGATGATGCTGATGATGCTGATGATGATGAGGAGGTGGAGGAGGTGGAGGAGGTGGAGGAGGTGGAGGAGGATGGCTCCAGCTGGCATGATTAGCAATATACACACTCCACACATACACCAGTACGGAAATGGTGGCGTGAATGGGACGCCGAAACGCCTGGAGAGTCAGGCCAACTTTGAGTCAGTCCACAAGGGGCGGGTGCCATGCCATCAGGTCACTCTGATCTACGACTACCCCTCCACGGCGGCCATCTCCCAGCTCGTGGTCGCCTCGGCCGGGGCCGGGGCCCCGGAGGATCAGAGCCCAGGGTTTTTTCCGACTCGGGGGCCCGTTGTGCCTTTTGGGTACTAATGAACATGGAACCAGACTTTCGGGACCCGGTCCCTTCAAACGGAGAATGGTCTCCAGTGTCATGTTCCATGTTGATTGGTGGGAGGGTAAGTCTTGGGTCTCTTTGGTCTTCGTTTGTTACTTTTTTGCCACGGTTGGTTCCCTCCGGAGCTGGACTTGGAATGACTTGGAGGCCTCTCCAACAAGGTGGCTTCTTGACATGGAAGCAGACGGGTTTGCTGGTCCACAGAGCAATTTCAGTGATCTATGGAGTAGGATTCTTAGAGGATACACTTCCAAATCAAGATGCAACCCCACGGGGCCTGATCCGGACACTCCTCCATATGTGTTCTTGGAATTCCATCCGAGACCTTTCCGGAGACTGCACTTGGGTTTGCCATTGTCGCATTGTGAAGATGCATCGAAATGAATGGGGCCCCTTTGGGCATGGTTTTAAAAGACCGGCATATGTCGCCATTTGGAGGACTCCATATTCCGTACTTCTCATACCGTCACAAAACACACAGAGAGACCCCGCAGGGAAAGAATGATCTGACCGGCTCAAAGAGGATCCGCTCCCGCGCGATCGCCGACCGCCCCACCTCGCAGGCCTCGCTGCGGCGGACGAGAGCGTGAGCTGTCCGATGGCTTTCCGATGCAACCACATCGCATTTGAATCAAGCCGACAGTCAATCGGGGGCGGGTTTCGCCCGGAGTGCAGGCATGAAATCCCACTGAGACTCATTTTGCCAGCGGCACTTGACTGAACAGGTCCCCCCATGCGGTCCCATCTCTCCAGTGCGTCCAGCGGCCCGTGTGTGCACAAGTTTCCGCGCTCGACATGGCAAAACCTGCTGTGCGATGGTTTCTGCGGTCTTCCCGCGTGCAAAAAGATGATGATCGACAGCTCGGGGCGAGGGAGATGTGATTGTGTCATCATTTTGGGGTTGCTTTGAAGGGAAGCTAAAGGGAAACCACATAATGGGTCATTTTGCAGTGGACGTTCCATTGCGTTCTTTGGGTAGGTCACTAAGGTCAACTTCCGCAGCCTTTGGCCCCAAAGCGAAGCACACTTTGGCGCAGGCAAGGCAGCAGCACCGGCCATTTCCATCGATCGTTGCATCCGTTTCGGTGGTTTCCTGCGCCTTGATCGAGATCGGATCGAGCTCAACATGGCTCCGGGTACCCCAAGCGCCTCAAAAGCGGCGCAGGGCTCAAGTGCAAATCGCTGGCATTCGGGATTGTGTTGATTTGGTTTGTTCGGTTCTCTGTTTTTCTATGCCGACAAAGGAAGATGGGGAGTGGGCTGAGTTTCAGGTCAGGTGTTTGTGCAACATTTGGGACCCCTCCAAAGCCTAAAGCAGTTGATTTTATAGTCAAGTCAGGGTTGCATCAGCTCAGTCGCTGAGGTCCTGGACTTTGATCCAAACGAAGTGGACGAGCGAGCGCTTGGGGCTGAGACTTTGGCGAATGGGCAATGCAAACTCGCCCGGGTGGCGCCCCATTGGCGACGGGAGCAGCTCCTAAAGCCTTTGATTGGCCATTGAAGACACGACAGGGAGAGGTTCTTAACTGGATGGGTGTTCAGTCATTTGGACTTTACCTGACTCACCCTCCACGTGGGCACTTGACGTCATTACAATCCGTCGTCTACCATTTATTTTCGGGTGCGGGGCGCCCAATTTTTCAAGAAGAAAGCAAGGGGCATGCACCCCCCATGTTGTCCACGCGCCCAACACACCTTGCATTTGAAACATACCTGGCATCTATGAGCGGAACAATCTTGGGTATGACGTTGTCTTGTTCATTCTCAGATTCACATTTGCGTGTGTCTTTTTTAGGGAACCCTCAAGACGCGTGGTTTCCCTTTCGCTTTTAATCATCCAACCCCGAAAAGGGTACCTTCCGAAAAAGACACTGCCATATGATTCATACTGTGGGTGGACGAACTCCTGCACCACCTGGAAACCATGGTTGAAACCATTGTTTGTTGTTATTTACAAGGGAATCATCAGAAACCGAGGATTCTGAACGTTGGTTCGAAATGGTTTTTGTCCGCCGGTATGACTTTCAACAGATGACCAATCGGGGGAGGACGCTTCTGCCTGGGGCATGGGACGGAACGAAGCGGTTTTGCGAGGCAGCGACAGACGCAGCGGCTGCTGAGCCAAGTGCTCCAAGCCCAAGGCGAGGGGTGAGGTGGAAACCAAATCTCTACACCCTGCACTGCGCACACCCTATGAATTTAAATAAGGAACCTCCTGGAAAGTGGTTGGTGGACATCAACCCCAACCTAAATGATGTCCACCAGAGGGTCCCTATATAATTAAACTGTATGATCATTGTCTTCCCTGAAGAGAACTACCTTGATGGAAACTGGCACTTTGGGAAACCACCATTTGCACATGGTTTCCAGCTTGGATTTTTCGGCACGCATTGAAATTCCACTCTAACTCTCGTGTATGAAGCCATTCAGAGAGGGTTGCGGGTCGCTTTTCTCATTTTCTGCGCAGCTCGCCTTTTGCGGAGCCTGTGTTGGGTTCAGCATGGTAGTGGTGATGTCGGTTATGCTGGGGATGTTGGCTTGGGCTAATTCATGATTTTCCAGCCTGGTTTGGTCAGGGACGGAACTGTCCTTTCCTGCCCAGTTTCATTCCATAACAACGTTGCCAAGCATATTAACAGCGGGCATGGACAAGGAAACGCGAAGTAACGCAGAAGCATGGTCATTTCCCCCCCTCTTAACGAACCACTGCGCTGGCTGCACCACCGTAGCAATGACCCTGCTCGAAGTGTCAGTTCAATGGTTTATCCTCAGTCCGATCCACTGTCAATACTAGGGGCAAACACACAGAGTCGCTTTGCCAGGTCGTCCAAACTCTGGCTTCTTTTCTTGCACCTCTTTAAAACCTTCAAAGGCATCCAACGTGACCAGCTGTTACCTTAGCCAGCTGTTGCCTTAGCCAACCCGCTTGGAATCTGTGACTCCCGGGACCCGTTCCACTCGAAACCGACATCTCGGATCCGATCCGAAGGACCCGAAGGCCTTCGCCGGGCTCTGCGTGTGACTGCCGCCTGGCGATGGGAATGCGCCCGGCGCACCACGATCCCGGAGGGGCAAGTCCCGGAGGGGCAAGTCCCTATGCGCCCGCCAACCCTTCGCCAGTGTCCGCGTTTCCGGCTGGTTGTAATAGAGTGGTTTTGTTGGTTCCCTTTTGCGGCATGGAATTGCTGAGCCAATGATGGAAGGCCAGGGTTCTGGTTGCCCTTTGGAAAAAAAAGGAACCGAGTCATCAGAAACTCCCTGTCCTAGTATAGTTTTCTCTGTTGGGTCATTTATGGATTGAAGGCTGTAAGGACTCGGGTCTGGGCCGTGATGTCAAAACTCAATTTGTTCGTTCTTTTTCGACCGCCCGGGTCTGCTTTGTTTTTCCAGGCAAATCACAGCAACCCAACGAGCTGAGGAGGATTGGCCCTAAATTTTGATGGAACTTGCGCAGCCACGATCTGCTCATCCCTCCATGTCACTTTGCGCAATGGGAGGCAAGAGGCCATGGGCAGTCAGCTGCTGGCTGTGATTTTGCTTCTCCAACTGTTCCGAACAGGAAGCAGAGCTGTTGATCAAAAGGCTGATGAAAATGCGGGGAGCTGCTGGTCGATCGGATTCACCCACGAGACCTGTTGTGGTTCGGAGCACGGGCCGGAGGGGAACACGGAATGTTGGGATGACGTGTACACCTTCGAGTCCTGCTGCCTTGGTCGGGATCTTAAGGAGGCAGGCTGCGACAGCGGGTTCTTCACTCGCTTCCGGGGACTGGTCTGGGAATACTACAAGGAGCACTGGGCTGAGAGCGAGTCAGATGCATGTTCATCTTATGTTCTTTGCCGAGAGCGAGTCACGTATTCTTTGTTGGGAGCCTATAGGACAGTCCAGCTTGGCCCTATGAATTCACATGGGAACAGAAGCAAGCATATGACGAAATACGTCAGATTAGACACGGATGTCTTACTTGGAGGCCACTTGTTTCGCACAATGAGTTGAGAAAGCCATGTTGAAGGACTCCATGCGACTCGATGCATGTGCCAACGGTCCATGCCCAAACTTTTGGCATAGCCCCTCAGCACGCAAGTCATGCAACAGGCAAGTGCCGATTGCGGCCACCCTCATTCTCACATTTGGAGCCCGAAGCACCTTAGACCTTGACGAGCAAAGGATTTTCCTTGCAACAAGTCTTGTTGGGTGATCGATTCCATTTCAGTCGGACAGTCAGGGCTCCTGTCCAACTTTGAATAGGGAGGAAAGTGTGGTGAAGGTCCAACTACATCTTTGTTGAGCCATTTTGGCACCACGGCTGGATTTCCCTCGCTCAACAGCCGCGAGTCGAGTTTGCTGGAGCTGCTTGAGGAGGGCCGGTCAAAGCCGGCGCTGATCCAGCAGTGGCCGAGGATTTTGGCGAACTACGACGCGCGGTTCCTGCTCTGCGCGCCCGCAGCCCTGCAGGCGCACTTGCTCCAAATCGAGGAGAACCGTTTCGCTGGCCCGCTGAGGGGAGAGGAGGATGAGAACTGGTGAAACAAACTAACTCAACAAACAACAAGATGCGAGCCCAGCGGGGAGACTGGACCAAAGCAAGCACAGATCTCTGAGCTGGAAACGCGTGGTCGCCAAGTTACAAGCAGCTTATGAGTTTCCTTTGGCAGTGCAACGATATGATAAGTTCCGCTTGGCACAGCGTTGCTCCAGTGGGCACTAGCGCAAACCATTATCGTTCCGAAAGCTTTCTTGTCCTTGCTGTACCTTGCAAATGAGCGCAGATGGACCAGCTCCCAAAATGGCAGTGCTTCTCTTGCTTGCGAAGGTAGCAAGCAGCGCTATTTTCCCTAGTGGGCGCGACCGAGTTCCGGCTGTGCTGTTGTTTTAGTTCAAGTCTTGTCTTCCAGAGATGTGTTGAGAAACTGCAGCGATGGGAGACTTGGTGAGCACTACCGGAATGTTCCTGGTTGCTTGTCGGTGTCCGATCAACCTGAACCAAGGGGTCTCAAGCTTCCCCCATTGAAACATACAATATGAGCCTCAATCAAAACCCGGGTAGATGAAGGTTTGTAAGGGACAATCCCAGCCATTAGGTGCGGCCGCCCTTTCAATTCCTTCCATGGTTCTGGGTTCACCATTTTTGTACGCGGTTTTGTTTATGAATCATATGTATATGCAGAATACATGATGTCTTCATGGCAGTGCGCTTGCATAATATGGTTGCGATAGACATCATACCTCCCGTTTTTGGACTCCTGCCATATCTCAACGCCTCGGGAGAAAAGAGTTGATATGAACCGACGCGGCTCCAGAAGAGAGTGTCAGTGTAATACATGCTAATATAAATGCACACATACATATATATATATATATACATAATATATATATATATACATATATATGTATATATACATATATATACACACACACACATATATATATATATATACACATTCAGTGTGCGCATGCCCAGGAGCGCGGCTTCCTGGAGCGGCCGGAGAGCGTCATGGAGCAGCTGCTGAGCTACACCCAGAACCTGCAGCAGGCGACCGGCGCCGCCGCGCCCGGGCGGCTCGACCTGAAGAGTTGGCCTCTGGAACTCGGCCTGGAGCGGCTGCGCCAGAACGCCGCTTTGCCTGGGGGGAGATCTCCTTTTTTGTTTTATTTTGTGTCTTGTCTTGGTGGCTGTTTTCTTTGCTTGTTTTTTGCTTGTTTTTTGCTTGTTTTTTGCTTGTGTTTGTTTGCGCGTTTTTTTTTTTTTTTTTTTTTTTTAATTGCCATTGGGCTTAGGTCTTTCTTTTTGTTTGCTGGTTTTGGGGTGGGTTTGTTACCGATTTGGGCCTCCGCTTTTCTTTGGTAAGCTTTCTTTTCTTTGTCTACTTCATGACCAATGCTGCGTGTCTTTCCGGATCACACGCAACTGAGGTGAGGATCAAAGCGCGGCAGATGAGGTTCCGAAACTTCCCGGACGTGACGCTGGTTTTGAGCTATTGCCGGGAGGAGCTGTCCTGGATGAACGCCTCCTTCAGCCGCCGAGTGATGCCTTTGGTGGACGTGGTGGTGGTCGCCAAATGTGTAGACGTGGACGGCGTGGCGGCCGTGCCGTTTCGCCACTTGTGGCGCTCCGTGGAGCAGTTGGACGTGGAGGACTTGCCGCTGCGGGCGGACGAGTGCTCTGCGTACCTGGGCTACCTGCACCACAACTACTACAAGCTCCCGCGGCATATGGTCTTCGTCCATGCAGACATGCCAGAGCATATTGGGGCAGGCCGGCCGAACATTGTAGATGACACCTTGCGAGCGCTGTCGCGCGGCGCGAGCGTGCCCTTTGCACATCTCGGGAACAACCGCGTGACCATGAGATGGAATCCGCATTTGATGACCCCTTTGTGGAAGGGACTGTTTGGAAGCACCATCGCCCCGGCTCCGGGCGAGGTGAGCACATACTGCTGCTCGCATATGGTGGTGTCTAGGGAGAGGGCGCTCGTCCGCAGCCGGCGCTTCTACCAAACTGCACTGGAGCTGGTGACCTCGCCAGCAAGCTACTTCTACCTGCCAGCTAAGTGGCGCCCCGCGCAGCAGAGCAAGGCTGCTGACTTTGACATGAAGGGCAGACTGGTGTGCCAGAACATGATGTTCTTGTGGCACGTGATCTTTGGGGCGCCCCTGCACTTGCCTCACAGGATGTACGACCCATCTCTTCCACTCTTCCTGAAGACGCGCAATATTCGGACAGTGTACTTGGAGGATGACAGCTTGTGAAAAGCGGGCGCCGATTCTGAGGCCCCAAGATGATGCGAATGTTGACCCTGGATTCATCAATCGAGAAGTGTTTCGGGTGTGCTCCCTACAAGTGAAGGATCCTTCAGTAATATGGAACACCTCAATTGGATCTGTAGATATTTCGTTTTGGGATTCCCGAAGTTCTTGGTGCTGAGAAGCAGCTTTGGGAGCATGGGCATGCCTCCAACACTCGTCTGCCTCTTTGGCGACGCACCACCAAGGTCTACCAATGTGCTGATTGCGATTTAGGGTCAGAGCTTGCACTAGTAGCCCATGATCATTGCAAGTGTGTCAGCAGGATGTGCAACCACTTGAATGTGGTGTTAACTAACGCACTTGACTGGGAAGATCCCTTGAAGCCCTTCAAGCTGGGGGGATATTTAGCAGCCAACTTGTGTTTGTGGGTCTCTTTTTCCATAAGGAAGCCCAGTGCCGCAACGTTGGGTGGAGCGAAGTCATCCAAGTCGGCCAGGTCAGGGGAGAGGTGGTAGCTGTTTTGGCGGCTTTCTTTGAACACAATGCCTAATGTCTGCTTGGGCTGGGGTGAGTGGGTGGGTGGGTGGGTGGGGTTTGGTGCGCAGGTGGACAACAGGAAGCCAGGCATGTGACGCGACAGGTGAGCCCAAAAGTCAGAGCGGTCCACGATTCTGACAGCCCAGCCGAACCGGCTTTGACTATTTTTTTGTTTTCCGGTGTTTCTGCTGCCAAAAGGCAAGAAGCGTTTCCCCTCAGAATTTTTTCAATTTGGTCCATTGTGAGAACGAGACGGGGGTCCGAGACAGGCCCCAAGTTCCCTTCCGAAATCAGGAGCCCCATGCGAGTTTCCCATGTTTGTTGGGAACTGATTTTGTTCGTTGCTCGTATGCTATGCAACTGTTCAAGTCTAGGCTAGAGCGTGGCAGCTAGGGCCGTTGGCTTCCATGGCTTTGAACCCCAACTCGTTGGCTTAACTCAACAGGAAGGGACGAAACTTAAAACAGGCTGGGTGTTGGGAAAACAGGTGGTGCTGAACATCTTTTCCCCTGGGTGTTTGTCTTAGGCTCGCTTTCTCCCCTTGCTTCTTCGCCCCCTTCATGAGATTCCAACTACACCCCCAGCAGCCAAACATCCCCCACCATGGTCCAGTCTGGCCTGAACAGGGACGTATGTGGTGCCTGCTATTTTTGGACAAGTGTGTTGATGTTACTAGGACTGACTTTGACACATGTCACAGTTGTGGCCCTTGGCAACAACTCGACGGAAGCCGAGGAATCCATGGCCTCGGCCTTGAAGCACCGGGTAGCCTGCGTGACCTGCCGCTCCAGGTGGGCTGGCAGGGCTACGGGAGGATAGCTAGCCCCCCCCGCCCCCCGGCTTTTTGGCTCATTCTTTTCAAAAGAAAATAGTACGAGTTACCAACTGCTCGGAGGGCCCTTCACTCTTTTGACACCTGCGACTCTGGCGGCCAGGCTCGAACCATTGGTTACCAATCTGGTAACCTACACCGCCTCCTCATCTTCCTCTGGGAAAAGTGTGCCAGAGGAGTGCTGGGCGTCAAATGGAGACCTCACGCTTATACCTCGAATAGGACTTACACCAAGGTATTCCTTCCTCCATTGAAGTGCGTGGGGCAACCCTAGGATGCTTGAGACCTGGACCCCAATGCATGAGCCCCCCCAATTCACCTGGGTGCATCTCGTGCCCGTGGTCCGGTGCCCTGGTGTGAATCCCGCGTCTTTTTCTCTGCAAATGCTGCGAGGACCCGGACGGCATGAATAAACCCTTGCCGCTGACGTCATGGCCCGGCTCCCAGATTGAATTCCTTCCCGCCTCGGCGGAACCGCTTTTTGGTAGAACAAGTTTGGTCAGCCACACACACCCACACACTTGGGTGCGGAGATGTTCTTTGTCATTGCTTGATGCATGATTGAATCATTGATGACAAGACTGTGAAACAACAGTTTCGTGCAAATCCAGCGTCCGGATTGACGTCGCAGCATGAAAGGAGTGTCTTCGTTGAGCGGTGACTCCAATCATTGTCACTGTTCCCCTGCAGTCGCGGATGTCAAAAAGTCTGGAATGAGCCGCTGCATGTTCAGAAAAGGATGAGGCTAAAGCCAAGGACAGCTGAGAAAGAAGCCAAAAGAGATTGATGCGAAGTCAATCTGCCTCAAATGAAGAAGCTGAAAACATAAGCAGCCGATAGCCATAGAACCTCTAGACTACCCGTGCTTCCGAGGTATCTTGGCAAACAGGTCTTTCACACAAACGCGACAATCCTCCCCTGAAAGTATACGTAGCTTGATGTGGCAGATCGCACACACACACACACACCCACACACACACACACAACCATCTCTCTCGCGTACTCTACATATAGTGTATACATTCTATTTTACACCCACGCCCACAAGGATACACCATGTAAACACACACACACATGCACACATGTGTGTGGCTCAAAATCAAGCTGGTGGGGTTACGCAGGTTGTAGTCTTTGTTTCCATTTGCCAAGGTGCCATTTCAGCTACCTGTTTTTGAGCCACAGTCACATAAATGTATATAAACACATCCATGCGCATGTATATGTGTAGGCAAATAAGCGCATGGATCAATCATCCTAACTACACTCGCACATACGTACATACATGCATGCATACATACAGACAGACAGACAGAGACAGACAGACAGACAGACAGACAGACAGGCAGGCAGGCAGGCAGGCAGGCAGGCAGGCAGGCAGGCAGACAGACAGACAGACAGACACACAGACAGACAGACATACCTACATACCTACATACCTACATACCTACATACCTACATACCTACATACCTACATACCTATACTTATATTCCTTCATACCTACATACCTACATACATACATACCTACATATATATATATATATATATACACCTTACATACCTACATACCTTACATACCTACATACCTACATACCTACATACCTACATACCTACATTCCTACCTACCTACCTGCCTACCTTCCTTCCTACCTACCTACCTACCTACCTACCTATCTACCCAACTACACATACATACATACATACCTACATACATACATACATGCATGCATGCATGCATGCATGCATGCATACATACATGAATGCATGCATACATACGTACGTACGTACATACATACATACATGCATACATACATACATGCATACACACATACATAAATACACATACATACATACATACATACATACATACATACATACATACATACATACATACATACATACATACATACATACATACATACCTACATACCTATATACCTATATACCTACATACCTACATACCTACATACCTACATACCTACATACCTACATACCTACATACCTACATACCTACATACCTACATACCTACATACCTACATACCTACATACCTACATACCTACATACCTACATACCATACATACCTACATACCTACATACCTACATACCTACATACCTACATACCTACATACCTACATACCTACATACCTACATACCTACATACCTACATACCTACATACCTACATACCTACATACCTACATACCTACATACCTACATACCTACATACCTACATACCTACATACCTACATACCTACATACCTACATACCTACATACCTACATACCTACATACCTACATACCTACATACCCACATACCTACATACCTACATACCCACATACCTACATACCTACATACCTACATACCTACATACCTACGTACCTACATACCTACATACCTACATACCTACATACCTACATACCTGCATACCTACATGCATACATGCATACATGCATACATGCATACATGCATACATGCATACATGCATGCATGCATGCATGCATGCATATTTATATGTATAGGTTTATAGATTCGTGTTGTTTTCTCTGTGAATATGTCTACACACAGAGACGCCTTGCTTTACACCTTATGCATATGCATAACGTCTACACATTCTCGGCCACTGCTTTGGTTCCAGGCTGTGCGCGGATGACAGCCGCGGGTTGGAGCCCTCGCGGGGCGCCCGAGGTGTCAAGCTCTGGAGGCATTTTCGATCAGATCCCTCAGCGGGGCGACCGCATGTCCGAAAGGATCACGCCGATTTTTCTCAAGTGGAAAGAGGTGTTGCAGACCCTCTTTTGAACTGGTAAAAGAGTGTATCCCCCATAAGGGAATCGCTTTCAAGTCGAGGGATTTCTGTTGTACGATCATATTTGTTGGTAAATTTTGCCAGGGAATGGCAGCTTTCAAAGTTTAGTTTTGTTTGCTTTGCGCTGAGTTGAACAAGGTTGTGAATCTTCATGCAGTGCCGGAGGGCAGAAAGGCAGACTCGAATCTGGTACCTGCCGCATCTCTCTTTCAATGCTCTTAGAACACTCTGCCAAGATTTTTTTTTTTTTTTTTTTTTTTTTTTTTTTTTTTTTTTTTAATTTTGTTTTTCTCGTTTATATATAACTATATATGTATTATTGCCCTTTTAGTTCTCCAAAGCGTGTGTGATGATCCATTTGCAGACCGCGCGTCTAAGCTCTCATCGTTTCGCATGTCGGGCAGGTGTGTGTTCCATTCAGGGGCACAGGCGGGAAACGTAAATTGATTTGTAAACTTTTGTTATTGTGTTGCTCACCCGTGGATCACCTCTGGTAGCCTGTAAGCCCTCGCCCACCAGTGTCTGGTTTACCTTTGTCCTCCCTCAAGAAGCATCAGCACAGTGGAGGGTTTGTCCATTTTGCGAAACTTTCACCCGTGCGCTCGCAGGGTGTTCCATGATGCACGGGCGTCCCAAGATCAATCGGACTTCTCTTCGAGGTAGGGCGGGGGTGTGTCTCAAGGCCGCTGGCGCGGAAGGACCTGGAGGCCCTCTCGGCCTTCCTGACCCAATTTGGGTCAGGCGCGGCAATGGGGGGCCAAAGGGGCCAAAGGGGCCAAAGGGGTCCAAAGGGGCCAAAGGGGCCAAAGGGGCCAAAGGGGCCAAAGGGG